GAGAGAGAGAGAGAGAGAGAGAGAGAGAGAGAGAGAGAGAGAGAGAGAGCTGCAAGCACTACTATAAACTGTTCTAGAGAGAATGAAATACGGAAGTAACTTCTAAAGAAATTTACAATACACAAAAGAAAAAGAAATTTGGGATATAGTTTTCTACTTGAATCACTATTTTTGTTCCCCCAGTACTGAGGATTAAACTTGCCTCCCATACTCAAGCCAAGTACTCTACCTCTGAGCCACATCCCCAGTCCATTTTGCTTTGCATTTTGAGACTGGGTCTTGCTAAGTTGTCCAGAAAGGCCTTGAACTTGCGATCCCTCTGCTTTAGCCTCTTGAGTTACTGGGATTACAGGTATGCATCACTGCCCCCTGCTTGAATCACTAATTCTTAAAGGTGATCAGTTTCTGCTAGTGGTCATATTCCCAGACTTCTATAAAAATACTTTTCGGCCATTGTATTTTAAACTTCAGATAAAACTTCATCCTTGGGCTGCTACACTGGATTTGAAACCACTTCATCATCAAAACTCCATTCTAGAAAGCATCCTGAAAGGTTGATGGCTTCTTTGCTTTTACCATCATGCGTAATCTATTCACCTGCTTTAGGTAGAAAGAGCTAACAGGAAAGATTTTAGAAAGTTCTGGGGTTTGTTTCTTTTTGTTTTTGATTCTTGTTTTAGGGACTATACTCAGGGCCTCACAGATAATAGTCAAGAACTCTACCATTGAGCTACATCCCCAGCCTTTTTTATTTCTTATTTTGAGACAGGGGCTTGCTAAGTTGCCAGGCTGGTCTTGATCCCTGGCTCTGGGCTGCTTCTTTAAACTGCCATGACAACTCTCTTCCAGGCCAAAAGAGAGAAAATATATTTCTCAGCAGAATGAAGAAACTGAAAATCCTTGTTTCTATTTCTCTCCCTGTAGAAAGCTTCTCCCTGAGTAGGTGAGTCTCCTCTGCACCTAGCCTAAGCAGAAGCCAGAGGTTGACTTTTCCATCATAACTTAATAATAATGGAAATTTCTGTAAAGTTTCTAACCATTCCTGAGTTAAGATAATCCATTTGAATTAACTCATGTAGTTTTAGATATAAATTGGCCTTTCCATCACCCCATGATAATTTTTTTTTAAATTTCCTGACTAGTATTGTCAGAGGTTGTCGTGGTACATACCTATAGTCCTCTTCTTTTGAGAGAGAACAGGGGCAGGGGGAGGGAAGAGAGAAAGACACAGAGACAGATAGAGGGACATAAATAAATCCTCCATTTATTGACAATCTGCTAGGTGCCAACTACTGGTTCATATATTACATTGTTATCTCATTTAAGCTCCCAGTTATCTGAACAGATATTATCAACGGTACTTTATGGACTGGAAAACAGGAAGGATAGTAGGGTTAGTAAGGTCACAGGGTGGGTGTGAAACCCAATTCCAGCTTCATCTGATTCCAAAGCTAGCAAAGTATCACAGTTCTCAACACCTGTCTCAGAGGAGGTAAAAGATAAAATCCATAATGTAATTCATAAAGTTAAATGACCAGGAAACTGGTCCCAGAAAGGTTATTTATGCTTATGAAACAGTTTCAGAGAATCTGGACTTCCTTGTTCACAACTAAATCTATTTTACCACCCTCAATAAATATTAACCAAAGCTTTTGATGCCAGACTACCCCTATTCCTTAGTATTACAGAATGGCATCAAACTCTCTGAAAGCTTCTCCCTGCCTGAGTAGGTGAGCCTTCTCTGCACCTAGCCTAAGCAGAAGCCAGAGGTTGACTTTTCCATCATAACTTAATAATGGAAATTTCTGTAAAGTTTCTAACCATTCCTGAGTTAAGATAATTCATTTGAATTAACTCATGAAGTGCACTTTACAAATAACTTCAGACTCTAGGCTATGTGCACAAGCAAACAGGTGGGTGGTAGAAGGGCCCAGAAGAAAGGAATGATTTCCTTGGCTCTCTACAGAACAAGGAAGAATCTTTTCCAAAGAGAATGATGCCCTTTAATATCTGTCTAAATACTGACTACTTCAAAATACTGACCTCGCAATAAACTTGTAAATACACAGAAACATTTATAAAGAAGAAATCACTACCTGTGATAAGCCTTCGAGCATAGTTCTTGAAGTCTTTGGGAACTTGCTGTAGCATGTCAAATTACTACTGCTTCAAAAATGGGGCATTTTTCTGGAAGTTGCTAATAATACAACCTCTGGAATTCGATATTGATTACTTCATGAAAATACTTTTCTTTTATGCTTTTATGACTTACTCCAAACAGAGGCAAACATTTTATCTTTTGAAATCATTACAAAGTAAAAAATGTGCAATTAATTATCTTTAACTTCATATCTGCTAAAGATCAACACAAATATTACTTGTTCAAGTATTAAAATACATTTAAAATGTTTCCTTGAAAAGTATAAACAGAAAGGCCATTTTATTTACCTGAAGTTAATTATAAGCCTGAACTTAATCATGCCCTTTTTTTTAAGTTCACTTATTACATAATGGCAATTTATCAAAGTCAATTAATACAATCTTAATAGAAAACAAATGTTGAAAGTTAAATAGATTAGAAGATATTGTGTAACAGGTATTTGTGAAATATAGTTTTTATATTTATGGTGAACAATGCCTTTGGGTATTGCTCTCCTGTTCAAGTGATTAGAGAACTCTCAGAAATCTGAGTTCTGTCACAGAGTTTTCACTTGTCTTAAGTTCTTCCAAGCTTCCTTTGTAGAACTGCATAAGTTCTAAAACTGAATAAAAGAAAGACTAGCAAGACTTTTAATTAAAAAAAAAACTTTATGCATTTAAATATGCTTAGGAATGGAAGAGAAAGAACATTCTCATAATTATTCATTTTGGAAGGGGGTTACCTGGAAGATGTCTAATTCAGTTACATGTATGCACTCAACACACATAAACTTTCACTTTTTAATGTCCACCCCATATGTAGCGCTTCCCATTTCCAAAGCTCTGAATGGGCAAAATGTTTGAAACATCATGAGTTGTTAAGTTACCCACCATGGCAAAATAAAAATGTGTTAACATGCATTGAAGTTGACTGGGTGATGATTCATACATTGCAAACCCCCTTTGCAAGGGAATCATATGCGTGAATATTTAATATCTCTGAAATAAGTTAATCCTTAAGAAAGTCACCAGAATTTTAACCGGGAAAATGGAATGATTTGATGTTGCTCCATTTTCTTTTAAAAGATTTATTCCCTTTTTCTTTTTTCTTTTTGGTTTTGTTTTCCAATTTATTTTTTTAATTTTTATTTGTTTTAATTAGTTACACATGACAGTGCAATGACCTTGACATATCATACATTTGAATCAGATATAATTTCTCATTTTTCTGAGGGTACAGGTGCAGAATCACATTGGTCATGCAGTCACGTATATACACAGCAATAATAATGTCTATTTTATTCTATTGTCCTTCCTTTCCCCCCTCCTCCTCCCCTCCCCTCCCATCACTTCTCTCTACCCAATCTAAGGTGATGCAATTTTCTTTTCCTCACATCTTCATACATGTATTTTGTATAACGATGAGGGTCTCCTTCCATCTTCCATGCAATTCCCCTTCTCCCTCCCTTTCCCTCCCACCTCTCTTCCCTATTTAGAGGTAATCTTCTTCTCATGCTCTTCCTCCCTATCCCATTTTGATACATTCCCTTTCTAACTTAGTACTTGATAAACTTTTCTGTAAAGAGCCAGATGTGATTATTTGAGGGTTTGCAATCCAGTCTCTTCCACAATTTAACTCTACTATTGTTGCACAAAAGTAGTGGTAACAATATGTACATGAATGTGCACAGTAGTATTCCAATAAAACTTAATTTACATAGTTTGCCAGTTCTTGTCCTAAACTTGTACTGTAAGCTCAGAGGCAGCTTATGAATACAATAAAAGTTTCTGTGCATAAATGCTGATACGTATTTGGGGGCTAAAATTTCCTTTTCCTTTCCTTCTGGGCTTTCAGCTCTGCCTCCTCATCCCCATGTGGCCAAACAGCTATATGTATGTGTGGCCTCTGGTTTGCAAGAGGATTGGTGGTTTTCAAGGTAATGTGTAAGCAAAGCTTGATAACATACAAAGTGACCTGGAGTCAGAGCATGATCATATGTTAGGAGGTATTAGAAAAGTGCCTTTGTGAGAGGTATAAATCTTAGACCTCTTACGAAGGAACAAAGGTAGATAGATATATATCTTTCTAAAGGACCAGGGAAGGGGCAGTTAGAAGGATATGATAAGCAAGGGTGCTGTTGAGCAGCATAAGAACAAACTCTATGTAGGAAGAGGAGAGGGTTTTAGGACCCAGTCCACGTGGAACAGTGTTTAAGAGCCCCATAGGCCTAGTTTTGAGTTCCAAATTTTAGCCCCCAAATACGTATCAGCATTTAGCCCCCAAATATATATCACTCTTCTACCTTACTTGGCAAGCTACTCAAACTTCTTGTGGCTCTCTGTTTTCCCACTGGCATGGTGGTGCACACCAATGATCTAGTGACTCAGGAGGCTGGAGGATCACAAGTTCAAGGCCAGCCTCAACAACTTATCAAGGCTCTGTCTCAAAATAAAAAGTAGCTCAGTGGTAGAGCATCCCTGGGATCAATCCACAGTACCAATAAATAAATAAATAAATAAATAAATAAATAAATAAATGTGTATATCATAGGATTGATCACAGGAGTTTTGTGAGGATGGCATAAACTATAGCATGTAAATCACCGACGACAGAGCCTGGCATGCAGTTAGAGAGCTCAGAAGATGTTAAAAACAAGACTAGGAGACAGAATCACTCAGGGACAGCTGGGCTGAGATGGTAAAAACACTTCGGACTAAAATTTCACAAGTGAAAGAAAGTAATTTATTTCCACCCTTCAATGACACAAAACTCCTTCTAGTACGAATTTCTAGTCATAGCTGCTGACTAAATATTTCTAAATACTGAAGTCCCGAAAACATGGCAGCATTTATTACAGCTTTCCTTGGCAATATGTGTTTCCCTTCAGATGGAATGCAATGTGGACAAGACTTCTGAACATCGGTGAGATCATTAGGGATCGTGTATAAAGAAGCAGAAGAGACAAGGTGGAACCCAAAGCAATTTGCAAAAATAGAAGCTTGGGGAGACTAGCATGGTGAAAGTGGCCCTGAGAGAAGACAGGCAGGCAAATAGGGGGTGGGTGATAGAATGGCCAGGCAAATAAAACTGTGTTCTTTTCTGGAAACTTACCAGACTCATGCATACAACTGATGGGAAACTGGAATGAATAAATAAATGACCCTAATCTATTTAAAATCTAAGTTTCTCTGTAGATGACTCAGGAAACTTACAATGTAGACCAGAGACTTTATAAATGCCATCTGAATACCTCCTCCCCCATCCCATTTTAATCTTAATGGTTGAAATTGGGATCAAAAGGTTCCCAAGATAAGTGTGTTGCCAGATTTCCTCTCTTGTTCTCTGGAGACCTGACTTCCCACAACTGGTGGTAAATGAAAGGTGAAGATGATTGCTTTTTCACTGGATGAGAAGAAACAATACTCATCTTTCTTGTAATGTAATTTCCAGGTCATTCCAGCCACAACAATGTCCTTGGCAGCAAGAAAAAGAGGATGTTGCAACAACAGGACTGGGGTGAGTACTGGGCTATCGGTTTGAAGCAGAAGGGCATTAACAGCTATTCACATCCAAGCAAAGCCACCCTGGGTCATCTGCCCCTACTGAATCACAGCAGGGCTCCACTGGCAGGGCCACAATCCTAGAATCACAATATTTAGGATGATTTGATAATAATATGGAAATTAAACAAGGTCCCCCCCCCTCAGAAAAATTTAACTTTGGAGCTAGTCTTTGTTCCTTTCCTCATTCTTTAGTTCACTTATCCAAAAATTTTCAAAGAAAGAAGATTTATAGCTGGGCATGGTGCCGCTCAGGAGGTTGAGGCAGAAGGATCGAGAGTTCAAAGCCAGCCTCAGCAAGTTAGTGAGGCTCTAAGCAACTTAGCAAGATCCTGTCTCAAAATGAAACAAAAAGGGCTGGGGATGTGGCTCAGTGGTTAAGGCACAAAGAGAGAAAGAGAGAGAGAGAGAGAGAGAGAGAGAGAGACTGACTGACTTATAAGTCATTCAGAGCTGTGAAGAATCTCACAATACTCAAACAAGCATTAGGCTTTGTTGTATGTATAAAATACTTAGAGAAAAATGGATTCTCAATTCTCTCATGCATAAGAAAGATTGCTTTGCCAAGATCCAAATGACAATTGTCCCTATTCAATTAAATAAAAGGAAATGGTAGTTATTTTTTTTAAACATTTAATACCTACTCTGTATAAAGTTGGAACTAAGTTAAAAGTAAATTCATATTCGTTAACCTGAGTATCACTCTGCTTAGAACACTTTCAAATATGCTATCAGTATTATTTAATCTTCTCAAAACTCTTAAGTGGGAAATAGAAAGATCTGGGATTTATTTATCAAGAAATTGACGCTCAGAAAAAGCAAAAATTTGGGGCTGAAGTCTAGTTGTAGAGCACTTGCCTAACATGCACAAAGCCCTGGGGTTAATCTCTAGCACTGGAAAACGCAAAACAAAACAAAAAAACAAAACAAAACAAAACAAAAAAATAACCAAACAGTGAATAGTAAGTGGGTTTTTCAAAATCTACCAAACTCCAACATTCAGGGTTTTTTTTGTTTGTTTTGACTGTGCTGAGGTTTAATAGCGCACCTGGATCATTTAATTTTTTTTAAAATTTTAACTTGTTATATATGACAACAGAATGCATTACAATTCATATTACACATACAGAGCACAATTTAACATTCAGTTTTTATACATTGTTTATGCCATGAATGTTGCTACCAAGTGACACCAAGGGCTCTCCTGTTTCTCTAAAAGGATAGATCAATAACAAGCAGTTGAAGTAAAAATGCCAGGCCAAGCTTGGCATATTTAAAGGTTTTAAAGCAATGATTCCTAGTCAGATGAGAACATTTATACCAGCTAGGGAGATGGACAAAATTACCGATTCCTAGGTGGCCCTGGGAGATTCTGCATCAGTATTTTTCAAAAGCTCCCAAGGTGATTCTAATGTGCTGCTGGGATGAGAACCTCTGTTTCAAAGAGAATATTTATATCCATAAATTTACTCATATTTTTTTTAAAAAACTGTCTGCTTCTGGCATTTGCTCTTTCTCTAGGATTATAAGAATTACTTTAATTACAGTATTTCTAGTCTTTTTGATACATTGTAGGTATTCAATAAAAGTCTTCAACTTCTCCTACCTGTCCTTTTTCTTCATAATATTTAATAATTTGGAGTTTTGACTTTGCATCACTTCATGAGCAAGTAATCATCATTTCAAAGATCACTCAAGTTCTTTCTCCTTGTAGATTATGGTGAGGTGGGAATAACCAAACCACTTTTCACAAAGGTGTTGGGCTTAACTCAGGCTTTGCTTTTGATACTCACCTTGAAAATAATTCAGTCATGCTTCACCAAGATTCCCAATTAATTCCATGCTGAGGATCTGTAGGGGCTCCTGGAGTGCCACTGGGGTACCCTACTGGGACTAATACTGGTACACTCTGTGAATATTCGTGTTAGTTATTTAAACCATAATTGCCAGTTTATATTGATATATTATTTAACTGGTTAATGTCTTAAAACCTTCTTAGCAACTTTTTTCACTTGTTGGCAGGCAGGTGAGGACTGGCGTTTAAGTCACACCTGGTATCTTCTAAGTCTAGTAAGACCAAAGCATCATAAAAGCAACAAAGGTCTGATCTTGGGAGGGCAGGAACAGAGTTACCCAGGCTTGTTCCTATTTTAACTGTTCCTTGCTTCCTTCCTCCTTTCCAGTTTTTGTTTCTGAATATGAAATAGCTTTGCTAAATCACTTAAATAAATCCCCACTCTAAGGAAAATACAGAAGCCTGGAATCACTTTCTGTAGAAAGAAAGACTCTTTTTTTAAGTGATGAATCAGAAATAGATGATCAGAAAATAAACAAAATGTTTTTTTTGTTGTTGTTGTTATTGTTGTTTTGGTACTAGGGATTGAACCCAGAGGTGCTCTACCACTGAGTACACCCCCAGCCCTTTTTATTTTGAGACTGGATTTTGCTAAGCTGCTCAGGCTGGCCTTGAACTTGAGATCTTCCTGCCTCAGCTTCCCAAGTAGCTGAGATTACAGGCGTGCACCATGATGCCTGGCACATAGCAACATTTTCTGATTAGTAAATTTAACTGGCAGAAGTCACAGTAGTGAGGAAGAACCAGGATTTGAATTTAGTTGGCAGCAGTGGAGTGTAGATACTAAAGCCCCAGCACCAGCATTTTCCAGCTGAGACCTGGGGATCTGTCTATCTCCCTGAGCTGTGGCTACCTCTTCCTTAAATGGAAATAATAATAGTATCTATTTCCTGGGATTGTTCAAGGATTAAGTAAGGTAGTTAATATATGTAAAATCAAATGTCCTTGACATGACTGTATAGGCAGCCAGTGGACTCTGCCCACTTAAGGAGGTCTGAAGAGCACGTCCACCAGGGCTCTGGGAGCCACAACATTCTTCCTTCAAAGGGGAAGGGAAGTATTCTCTTACTTCATTTCTACGGATTTTGGAATTTATCACAACCGTCACAACTTCTTTGAAATAACAGTTTGTTTTTCTTAAAAAACACAACATTTTCTCTCCTATGCCAAATTCCATGCTGTTTTCGTTGCTGACTCATGAAATGAAAGACTTTTATAGTTTTTTCCTCCAATACAGTAGTTCTCAACCGTGGGCGACTTTAACTCTCCACTCCCACCCCAATGGGATATCTGGCATGTCTGGAGCTGTCTCTGGTTGACACACTGGGGCTGCAGGAGAGGAGTGATACTAGCTTCTAGTGGGTGGAGACCAGGGATGCCAGTACTGAGCTGGAAGTCCTGCTCCAACATTCCTCAGCTGCTTGCTGCAGGATGCTCACCACTGTCACAGAGAGCAATAGGGTCAAATCTGAATTAAAGACTTAGGAGCCAAAGTATGGGTAGTTAACATCTAGTTGAGGTTCTACAAAGTGCAAAGTGCACAAAAGAGGGAGAAGGAATCAGTGCTCAGTGGCCAGGCAAAATACACAAGTCTCAGGAATATACAAGTTGAGATTTTTTCAGTCAGGGGTGTTGTCACACACCTCAGTCCCAGCTCCTGGGGAGGCTGAAGCACGAGGGAGGGTCACAAGTTTGAGGCCAGCCTTAGTAAATTAGTGAGATCCTGCCTCAAAATAAAAAGGGCTGGGGATGTAGCTCCTGGGTTCAATTCCCAGTACCAAAAAAAGAAAAAAAATATTTTTTCAGAGACAGTGACAATCCCAATCATTTTTTATATGAGCATAATCAAATGAAGCAGACACTTCAGCCTCTAAGTCTTTTACAATTCACAACATGTCAGACTGTGATCTTCAAAGATCTAATACTATAAAATGACTAGAGAACAACAGCAGTTGATTCTAAATAGGTTATTTGGGCTTGGGAGATGTCCCCAGTGGCTGTGCTTCCCCAGCACACACAAAGCCTTGGGTTCAACCCCCAGCACAAAACTAGCACCCCCACTGTGCTGTGGAAACTTGAACCAGACTGAGGATGTGTAATCATGCATGCAAATGGCTCTGCTTTATTTTTCAGATGCTTCTTTCATCACTTTTAAATGCAATCACAGTCATTGGTGCTGTGTACTGCCTGTTGGTCTCCATCCAGGCGCTCTCTGAAGGTCCGCTCATCTGTAATTCTCCAAGCAACAGTACCACCACTTGTGAATTCTCATTAAAAAACTTAACGTAAGTAGCCTTCCATTGTCTTACTGTCTTGAATAGTTGCAGCTAGATTAGAATGTGGTGTGCAAACAATGCCATGTTTTTCTTTGATGTAGCAACTGGGACAAACCTTCTTAGGGACTCGGCACTTAATCTCAACAGGTACTATCCCACATGGATATGAAGGAATCACTACATTCAGAATGCTATGGTATGGTCTTATCTAAAAGGTTTAACTGACTCAGATGGCTTATGCTTGTCTTTTAAAATCCTGTGGTTGCATGTGTATGGTGTACATCTATAAATTTTTTTTCTGGTACTATGCACTTGAAACTTAACTTTCATCCTTGGAGAATGGAAATGGGATGCCCTGGGAAGTAAAGGGAATGTTTACTTTCTACATTTCTGAACTGATTAAATTTGGAAACTATGGGTGCACACTCTTTATAATTAGAAAATTTAATAAAAACCTAATAAATAATAATGTATGACCTAAATGAAGAAGCCAATGGATTCTTACACATTATATACCACAGGTGGAAATAAAAATCAGTCATGTAATAACAGTATAAATGGCTCATTTCAGTTTTTTAAAATGGTTTATATCTGAGTCTAGGTATAATTGGTAAAAACTGTTGGAACAATCTAATTCTTTAGCTATCTGTATAGGCTGCTCAATTTGGAAAATAACCAGATTTTACTTTTGTAGTTACATGAATAAAATCATCTTCCTCCTTTTCCCTTATCTTGCTAAATCTAAGAAGGAAAAATCTTTCAACATTTGCATAGCATAGTGATTGTGAATCAAAACCTAAAGAAATTTTCTCAACAGATTTGAAGAAAAAGATTAGAGATCTCAACCACAGATGCCCCAGTTAGCCCTCAGTGAATGACAACAGTCTGCTAATGTACCAGGCTAAGCTCTGCAAACAGTAGCACTCAGCTGACCTATCTAGTTGGCCTTAGGGTAAAGCTAACCAGCAGTTACAATCCAGTGATCCCATTTGCCCACAACTTCACAAAGCAGGTCCATATTTCATGTGCAGGAAACACTGTTGTTTCCTAGCTGATAAATTAGTTGTTAGAATACAGAAATGTAGACTCTCTAAGAACACTCAGTCTTACTCCAGGAAGAACTAAAGAAAATTGCCTTGAGATACATGTGTCAGGGTTAAACTTCTCATTTTCCATAGCCTTTAGAAGAAGCACAAATTAGATGTATTTGAAATGTCTGATGGGTGAAAATCACACATCTGGTTTAAGAGAGATGTAACATTGCAGTTCTGCACAAAGAGCTGAAATCTTTTGTTTTCATATCTTCAGCAAGTGGAAGTGCCTGCATAAGTAGGTGAAAGCATGTGACAGTGTTCTGCCATTTTTTCTTTTTTTTGGCACTGGGGATTGAACCCAAGGGCACTTATGTGCTACATTCCCTATTCCTTTTTATTATTATTATTATTTTAAATTTTGAATCAAGGTCTTGCTAAGTTGCTTAGGGTGTTGATAAGCTGCTGAGGCTGGTTTGAACTTGAGATCCTCCAGTTTCAGCCTCCTAATTGCTGGAATTACTCAGGCATGTAGGACTGCAGATGGCTGGTAAATGGCAATTTCATGTGGTTCATCTTGAGAGTATGTGTTCTATAAAAATGCCTTTGCATGATGGGATATATAAGGAACAGAAGTCTTATAACTATTCGGGTTAATGGATCTATATTTAGAAAGCCATAGTTTCTGGACATAGTATTTCAAAAGCATATTCTGTTTACTATATATTTTTTTCTGTGCAGAGTATTTATTATCTCTTTTGTTTTTCAGTGACTTTCATCCAAAATCCTTCAATCTGCAGTGGTTCTTCAATGATTCTTGTGTGCCTCCTACTGGTTTCCCAAACTCTGCCATCAACAACATGCACAGTAATTGGAGAATACCTAACTCCAATTCTGAAGAAGACAGACAGAGGATTTTCCACTTTTCAGTATTTTTAAGTCTATTTCTTGTTGGAGTTCTTGAGCTCCTTTTTGGGCTCAGCCAGATAGTCATTGGTTTTCTTGGCTGTCTGTGTGGGGTCTCTGGCCAAAGAAGTCAAATTGTGTAGTTTAATGGTAATAAAATTAAGTATCGATATTCTGAATAACTTGAGAATTATATTTAAAATACATGCCTTTAGAAGTTCAATAATGAAACATTATTTAGAAAGCTGTATAAGTCATTTTAATGTAAAAATGTTGTTTTTGAAATCATCTTTGAGGTGATTAAAAAACCCCAACTTTTCACATAAAAAGCATGATGTAAATGCATTAACACCTTCTTATGGAAAGACAAAATCATTGCTGGTTGATTTTGAGGGAGAAGTGGAGAGAAGCTTTCAATTTGTTTTATATTTTTCTGTTCTTCTGTGTTATTCCAATTTTCTAGTTATATATTCTTGTGTGTGTGGAGAAGGAGGAGCAGTTCTGGAGGGAGGATGGGAGAGAACAGAAATGATCTTGGAAGTTAAAGTAGTATGCAGCCTATTTATTGTATTTTTTTATACTTAAGAGAAAAACAAAAGAATATGTATATAATATATATAAAAATGTAACCTGCATTCATTTAAGTCCTTAAATCTAATTCCCAGATTACAGGGACACTAAACAGAGAATAGCCCTGTTATCAAGAAAAAAATCAGTCTTTCTTTAAAAGATATGAGAACTAACTAGTGTATTTACTATTTAAAATTTATTAAAGAGACAAAGCCAACACTTCAATTTTCTGAATACTATCACTCCTCCATTTTTTTTATGTTCACTGGGCTCCAGTTTCTAGAAATAACTTACAATATCTATATTATAGCTTTCCAAATAAATTAGTAACATTAAGAACTTATAAGGCTTTTCTTTAAACCCACTTACCATATGAAGACAATCTGCTCCTACACATGCCTATATATCCTGAAGGCCTAGTTCAAATGTGTCCTAATTGAGGAAGTCTTCCCAGCATGCACAATTCCAATAATCTAAGTTAGTGCTCACTCTAAGTCATCATCATACCCGACACATATGTTTTTGGGTATCCACTATTATAGAATTTAAGAAAACAGAGACCGTGTCTTTTTATCCATTACTCATCAATCCTTTCCCACTTTGGGTCCTTGGTAAGGCCGCTTCTCTCCCCCATACTCTGTTCCATACTCACCTGTCTTAAGTCATACTTTCTCTGTGAGGCCATTCCTAAACACCTAATGAAAAGTAGGCTTCCTTTTACTCTTTTATAGCTTTTATCACAACTGCAACAGCATTTTCATTTGTGATTGCTTTTTAGATTTCACAGTCCTGCATAAGCTTATGGTAATAAGCTCCCTGGGTACAATAACAGGTTTCTTGTATTCATTCTTGGTATAATTAGTATCTAACATAGTGCCTGGTACAAAGTAGAGCCATTATAAAGATTTTGATGTTTCTTCAGCACCCAATATTTAGTGAAGACTCGATGCTTATTGAATGAATGTCAAACTGCTAATAGCCATGAAATTAAAAGAGGTAAAATGCATGATACCTCATTGTGCTGGAGTGAATGACACAGGGGCAGTGATGGTGGTTACAGTTTTCTCATCACCCTGGACATGGGAGATATGACTCCACTTCTCCTTCGGGTCAGGAAGAGATAGAAACTTAGGTGTCCCATTTCAGAGGGCAAAAGAATGGCTGGCTGGCAGTAGTATGATCAACTGAAACAGCTGATAGGTTATTCTTTCACTCTTTCATCTTATGGAAACTGCTGCCATGAATTAAAGATCTAAAGCGTATCAGCCACCCATGGTTAGTTCTTTTGGGTAAAGCCATCTCTGAGCAGGTACCTACAAATGCCAATTCGTGTCTGTACATGTACCTTCTACCCCCCCCTCCAACATACCTAGTCATTTGCAAAGCTCAATGTTTCTTAATCCACATTCTCATCCCCAAATACAATCTCACATTGGAATTTATATATAAAAAAAACCACCCTACATCACTATCTAAAACTCTACTCATCCTTCAGCACATATCTCAAATCTTCTTCTTTAGTAAAACTGTTTCTATAATCATCTCATTCTTTAATAAGCTTTATTCCCCCACCTCCATTAATATGTTAATTCCTTAAGAGCAGGAATGAAGAATATCTTCTGTAACTGCTACTTTTTAAGATCAGTGTGTGCATTCAGAAGTCTATTTATTGAGAAAATAGATTATAATTAAAAAAAATATAAGATAAACAGTTCTACAACCAAGGTCCAGAAAAACAATTCAATCTAAATGCCAAAAAAGTACATTAAGAAACTGACAGACATTTATGTGGGACAATACACCATTTGCATAAAATTATTCCTTGAATTGTAACAAGTTTCAAATGCCTCAAGTATTCCCAGAAGTGTTGTGTGTGGGGGGGGAGGAGGGGTGAGGAGAGGGGGAGAGAGGGGGTGGGGGGAGGAGAGGGGGTAGATGGGGGGGTACTTTACATTCTGAAAGTAGTGTTAACAAAAATATACTTGCTGTTCTTACTTTTGCCCTGATTATATCCTTTTCTCCCTCTGTTCCCTGTACTTGGCATCCTTTTCTTCATTTTCTTTTGTTGAAATCATACATACACTTATCTCAAGGCTCAGCTATCTAAGAAGTATTTCTTGATTATCTTGATCAGGATTGAATTCATTTCTTAATCCCAAACATTTCTTTTCCTTTTACAGTGATTAACAACATTTTTGGGGGAAGTAGTTTAGAATAACACAGGGCTCAACCTCAGTCAAGATTCAAGCTCTTCTACTTTTAGATATGTGACAAAGTCAAGAAAGGTATATATCTCATTGCCTACTTTTGCATAAGATTTCTCATTTTTTTTTTGTCACTGAGGGAGTAGTTTTTTGGGGCCCCAGCTTCAGTCATGATTTTCCTGTTACAGGTTATTTCCTGATCAAGGTATGGAATTCTATCTTCTGTCCCTTGCATAACCAATAAGTGATGAAAACTCCTAGCCTCTAGTGTTTGTTTAAAATCATCAGGGAGAAAAATAGCTTTTGTACTTATCTCCCAAGATTCCCACTTTTATTTAATTTTTAGCATTCTTTTTCCAGCAAAGAAGATGGTAATTTTACCTACCATTTTACCACTTTTGTGGTCTCAAATGAGTGATTCACAGAAATTGCCTTGTGGCATATACAAAGCTGGAATTAATAAAGCAATTTCACATTAGGATATCACCAAAAGTCAGAAGACTTCCATGTACAGAAAAAAATTATGTCATCAACTCATGAAAAACGTTACAAAGAAGAATCTTCCTCCTAATTTTTTTTCCCTCCCAGTGTTAGGGATTGAACCCAGGGGCCCACTACCAACTGACCTACACCACTCTCTCTATTTTTTTTAAGACAGGATCTCACTAAGTTGCCCAGGCTGGCTTCTAACTTGCAATCCTCCTGCCTCAGCCTCCCAAGTTGCTAGTATTACAGTCATGTGTCATTGCACCCAGCTTTTTCCCCAGCTATTTTTTGAAGGGAAGAGGGAGAAGCAAGAACAGAAACATGAAATCTACCTATATCAAAGAAATTTCCCTCAATCACCTTCCCTAATACTTACTGCATCGATAGAAAGATAACTTAAGATGTGTGGAGAACAATCCACCTACTTGAATTCTACCTGTTTTAGAATCAGAAAAAGGGAAAATAATTTTGAGAACTAAAGACACCCAAGACTTGGTTTCATTGGTGTGTTTAACTCTCATGAGATTTAGCATATTAGCAAATAAATACTACTATGGAGAAAAAGATGCATAAATCATGGTATTTTAATCTGAATCACTTCATAGATAGAATAAACTAGAAAACCACCTGCAATTGTATATGGTGGTGTACACCTGCAATCCCAGCTATAAGGGAGGCTGAGGCAGGAGATGGCGAGTTTCTGGCCAGCCTCGGCAACCTAGTGAGAGCTTGTCTTAAAAAAAGGTGGGAGAAGGATGAGTGAGGAAGGAAGGCCTAGGGATATAGCTCAGTGGTAGAATACCCCTGGGTTCAATCCTCAGTACCACCCCCAAAATCCCAAGCGACAAAAACAACCAACCACCTTCAATACAAATGATGTCCACAATTAGGAGGATAAAGATCTGAAGAGAAGCACAGGAGGCACTTGCTGCCTGCCAAGTCATTAAGTACATCGTATGCTCCTGAGACACAAAGACTGAGATAAGGTTAATATGACTCCATACTGAGCTCATAACCAATATGATGAAACAAATTTTTCAACAGACAAACATTGCTTTGGTTGACAGTTTATTAAATACACTACAATTGTTCCTTATTCTGTAGTTTTTAAATCATTCACACATGGACTTAGTAAAAACGTATTTTATAGAAAACCATCTGCAAAACTAAAATGAAAATAAAAACGCAACATAATGCACACATATTAAACTGCTGAACTGTTAGGCATATTTTAATTTAATCTATACAGGTGATCATGAAATATTAGGTGGTTTGATTTTCTTAAATCTGGCACCAGACCATGACTTCAAGTGTTAATGTTAAAATATGGATGCAAAATGTCTACCAACAAAACTGTGAGAAACAGGACAAACATTGTTTTTCTTCTACAGATACTTTTCTTAATCCACCCTTTATGCATTCTGTCTTCCTTTCACAGAATTAGTTGTTTAGACTGGTGAGGCAAAAAATTAATTTCATTTTAAAAACACAAACTGGAGCCTATTTACAAAACATGCAAAAGGAGAATTTTATGTAAGTGTTGCTGTAGAACTGATTTAAAGTGAATACAACTGAGTGACAGAATATACCTTTACTTCTACAAATATAGGTCCTTTCACCCTACTTTCTGGAAGAAATACATTTTCAGAGCATGAACTATAAAACGGCATACAATGCAAAGACAGAAACAAAGAAGTTTGCAAATCTTTTATATTTCCAGCTGTTGAAACAATATATTTGAGTGCTGAAGTTACCTCTAGCGGCGAAACCAGAGCCAGCTATTAAGCAGCCAGAATGCTACAGTAATTGAATACATGACCATTTCTCTTTTAGCACGCTCTTTGTTCTCCTCTTCTAGAAGTTGTAGACGTCTATTTAGTTTGATTATCTATGTGAAAAACAAACATAAAATACAATATAGAAGCTTTAATGTACACAGCAATTCCATTCTTAGAAAGCAGTATAATCATATAAGAGTTATTATAAACATGGAATGTTTCATTTGGAGCAAAAAGACAGCTACAAATAGAAAAAAATGTTATTCATGACAGCTTAAATTTGCTTAAATACTCTTTATCTATTTCCCTTCTCCAAATTTCGGAGTTAGTGAGGGCATATTTCCTTCCTTACCTGATTAGATTAAAGGCAGTATTTCACAACTAAGCTATTCTAGTAAAAGACAACACATACACTGAGGCAGGCTTACCAAGGCAGAAAGACTAGAGACCCCTACCCCTTTCTATGCCTCTTCCATGAGTTTCTTATTTCGCAGCCTTAATTTTTCATTTTTAAGTTGGTATTATCTGCATTCTCTCTGAGTTACTGAGAAAGCCCAATACTTTAACCTATTGTAGTAGGCCAGATGTCACCTAGACACTTCAGTCTGAAAGACTAATGATTCCCCAGCTGCTAGAAAAGCTGCTGGCTGAATGAACCATCCTTGGCTCTTTGTCCTTTCCATGAATAGCCCTGGGCTGAACTGCCCTGCTGAAGCTAGTGCTTCTTTATTGATGTTTACTTAAAATACTTTACTTTATCCTATTTTCTCTATATCTATTTTGTATACATAATCAAAACACCAGATATGCCTTCTCTACATGTGCATATATGTGATTATAGAAGGTATAGGAATACATACTAAAAATATGTATATGCAACTGTAACTTCAAGATACAACTTATTTACTTCTTGTGCTTTAGGAGTCTTGTGGAACATGGTTCCAAGCTGACATGATGGAGATTTGGGCCTACTTTTACTTCTAGTAGCGCAGGGTCTCTGGTCTAATGCCTAGATCCACTTTGAGTTGATTTTTGTGCAGAGTGAGAGAGAAGGGTTTAATTTCATTTTGCTTCCTATGGATTTCCAGTTATCCTAGGACCATTGGTTGAGACGCTATCATTTCTTCAAAGTATGTTTATGGTGCTTTTGTCTAGTATGAGATAACAGTATTTATGTGGATTTGTCTGTGTCTTCTATTCTGAACCACTGTCTTTGTGTCTGTTTTGGTACCAATACCATGCCTTTTTGGTACTATAGCTCTGTAGTACAATTTAAGGTTTGGTATTGTGATGCATCCTCCATCACATTTTTCACTGAGGATTGCTTTGGCTATTCTGGGCCTCTTATTTTTCCAAATGAATTTCATGACTGCTTTTTCTATTTCTATGAAGAATTCTATTTATTTATTTATTTCTATGTCATTGCAATTTTAACAGGAATTGCATTAAGTCTGTATAGCACTTTTAGTAGTATGGCCATTTTGACAATATAAATTCTGCCTATCCAAGAACATGGGAGATCTTTTCATCTTCTAAGTTCTTCTTCAATTTCTTTCTTTAGTGTTCTGTAGTTTTCATTGTAGAGGTCTTTTTCTTTTATTGTTAGATTAATTCCCAAATATTTTACTTTTTTCCATGGGATGCTATTAAACTAAAAACCTTCTTCACAGTAAAAGAAACAATCAAGAATCTGAGAGAGAGCCTACAAAATGGGACAAAGTATTTGCCACCTGCACCTCAGAGGATTAATCTCCACGATAATATAAAGAACTCAGAAAACTTAACATCAAAAAAAACCAAATAACCTAATCAATAAAGGGCAAAGGAACAGAATAGACAATTCACAGAAGAAATACTATCAGCCAACAAATACATGAAAAAATGTTCAGTATCTCTAGCAATTAGAGAAATGCAAATTAAAACTACACTGAGATTTCATCTTACTCCAGTTAAAAAGGCAATTATCAAGAATATAAGTAATAATAAATGTTAGCATGGATGTGGGGAAAAAGGTACACTCATACATTGCCTGTGGGAATGCAAATTGGTGTAACCTATCTGGAAAGCAGTATGGAGATCCCTCAGAAAACTTGGAATGGAACCACCATTTGACCAGTTATCTCACTCCTCAGCATATACCCAAAGGACTTAAAATCAGCATTCTATAGTGAAGTAGCCATGTCAATGTTTGTAGTAGCTCAATTCACAATAGCTAAGCCATGAAACCAATTTAGGTGCTCTTTAACAGATGAATGAATAAAGAAAATGTGGTATATATACACAATGAAATATTATTCAGACATAAAGAAGAATGAAATTATAGTATTTTATGGTAATTGGATGGAAATGGAGACTATCATCATGCTAAGCCAATCCCCCCAAACAATAATAAGCCAATCCTAAAAAACCAAAGGCTGAATGTTCTCTCTGATATGCAGATGCTTACACAAAATTGGGGGAGGGGGACAGAGAACAGAAGTACTTTGGGAAGGGAGGAAAGAACAGAAGTACTTTGGATTAGACAAAGAGGAATGAAGGGACAGGAGGGAGGATGGTAATAGGAAAGACAGTAGAATGAATTGGACATAACTTTTCTATGTTCATATATGAATAAACGACCAGTATAACTCCACATCAGGTACAACCACAAGAATGGGAAATTATACTCCATATATGTATGTCAAAATACATTATACTGTAATGTATAACTAAAAAGAATAAAAAAATATTTTAAAGATATAACTTATTAGAATATATAAGCAATATTATGTATAGACACTGTGCACATGAAAGCAGTCACTTCCAAAGTGAATATCAAATATAGAAACAAAGGTCCCCAAAGTGATTATTACATGTCAAAAGTCAGACAAGCAATTTATACTGGTTTGCTGATATTTAAGATTCTTTCTTATTAGTCAGATTTAAATAAATTCATTTTGATGATAGTATTTTATGCTGGTCAAAAACATGTAGATGAGCTGGGCTTGCTGGTGTATACCTGTAATCTCAATGGCTCAGGAGGTTGAGGCAGGAGGATGGAGAGTTCAAAGCCAGCCTCAGCAACTTAGTGAGGCCCTAAGCAACTCAGTGAGACTCTGCCTCTATAAAAAATACAAAGAGGGCTGGGGATGTGGCTCAGTGGTTAAGCACCACTGGGTTCAACCCCTATTGCTAAAAAAACCAAAACCAAAAACAAAACAAAAAAACATCCCAAAGTATGTAGACAGTGGTTTAATGGGTCCTTAATTAAAAATGGGAAATCATTATGGCTTATTAAATAATTTGACAGATAAAATATTTCAATTCATGGGTTCCATAAAATAGAAAAATGATAAAATATTATCAGCTATCACTTTAAAATATTACATGCAATGTGAAAAAAAATGTGAAGGTAGGTTAAAATCACACAACAAAATTTACATGACTATAACTTTTGGATTATATCTTGTTTGGTTCATTAAATACCTGGCGTCTTAATGAAGCTGCATCTACAACAGTCATATCATCTGATGAGCCTTCAATTGTTGTTTCTATATTTGAAATGCCATACCTAGTAAATAAGACATAAAAATACAAGTTAATACTAAAACAAAACTAAGACTAGCAAGTCATATGTTATGTATTGCTCAAAGAAAAATTCAAAAGACATACTTAACAATATAAATTACTAAAATATTATACTGTCTGAATTGACACTAATAAAGGAAAAGAAAAAGCTTAAGATGAATGATTTCTACCTATAATACCAGGAAAATGTACTGAAACGGAGAATGAGGAGAAACCCTGACTGAAGACACTTTTCAAACCAGAGAGATGGGCAACGTTAAAAATGATCAGTGGCTGAAAAGGCTGAGAGCACTCTAGGATATGCCAACAAACAATCCTTACACAAACCTTTACCATATGTGGTTCCAAAGGTAGAGGCGCACAGGCAAGGAATGCAAAGTGAACTAATTCTAACCAAAAAAAGAAAAAAAAAAAAGTGATAATTTCTCTTCCTCTTCTTGTGCCACTCCTTTTCAAATTACTTAGTCTTGACTGCATGTCTCCTGCAGAAATAACCAAAATCTCTGGAATACATCTTTTGTTTGTTTTGTTTTTGCGGTGCTGCAGATAGAACCCAGGGCCTCCACATGCTTAGGAAAGCACTTGACTGCTAAACTACATCCATGCTCCCCACCCCTGCTACTTTTTTGTTGTTTTGAGAAAGGGTCTTAGTAGCTGGGATTTCAGGCATGCACTACTGCACCAGACTCTTGAATATATCTTGCCACTACATTTAGATCCAGAATTGGCTCAACAATAAGAAATTAAGAGGGTGTGTATAAAACAGTAATACTGAAGAACCACTAAGAATACAGAGAAAGCACACTAAACAATACCTTTTGTTCAAATGCAGTCACTTTTAAAAGATTTTTTTTAAATGGATGACAATAAACTTCTGAAAAATAGACACAAATACCATTCCTATCCTTTGCCTGCATTTCCATACTTTAAATTTTATTTTAATTACAGCTTTACTGAGATACAAATTTATATACCATGCAATCTATTGTATCACATGTATCTATTTTATATCCAATATGGTTATTTCAATAAAATGACACGCTAACTTTTCTGAATGAGTAGAGTTACTAGTTACTACTAGGGTTACTAGTTACTAGTTACTACTAGGGTTCAATGCCTAGCATTGCAAAAAAACAAAACAAAACAAAAAAACCCCAGAGTTGGCTAACGGATCATATATTCTAATATTCCTAGTAATGTTCCAGTACAAAAAACCCACATTATACAACAAAGGGATATGAAATAGAATTATATTTTTTCATCTGGGTATGCTAAAGACAAGTCTATTTAGAAAATCCTGTTGTTTCAAATGTTGTTGAAAATAATATAAAAATACTTTAATAAAGAATGCAAAATGAAATTTAAATAAGATAGTGTGTACTGACTAGATAAAATCTATAAGAATCTCTGAATGATCCTCTTATAGTTAAATTCACTTGCTGTTAATTAGTTCCCCTTTCTTCATGGAAATAAAGTAAGTATTCTTGAAATCCTGAGGGTAATTCTACCAGTTAGCAAAGTAAACTTCTCAGAAATAGATATTGCAACTATTGTCAGTTCCTGTTTACAAGAACATGCAAACTTGGGCTTACAAACTATGGGCTTATAAACATCTAAGTTAATTATTCCTTTGAACATTAAAAGAGAATTATTAGGGCAGAGGATGTGGTTCAGTGCTTGCCTAGTATATACAAGGCCCAGAGTTCAATTCCTAGCATTGAAAAACAATAACAACTAAACAGAATTATTAAAAGATCAGAGGAAAAAATAGGGCTTCAAGATTCCTCTTTTCTACATTTCATCCTCAAAGTTAAAGGGACCTGGCCTGAAGATAGAAAGCTAAGTTTAAATGATAGAGATTAATTGCAATTTAAATCCTGATAACTAAGGTTTTAAAAATCTGTAAAGGAAATTGTCATTCGCAAAGAAATCTAGAGACAGGACAAAAGACTTTACATATAGACTTCAATTTACGTATATATGTATATATTTCTGTATACTGGGGATTGAACCCAGGGGTGATTTGCCTCTATGCTGTATCCTCAACCCTTTTTATTTTGTTTTGAGATGGGGTATTGCTAAAACTGCCCAGGCTGGCCTTGAAGTTGCAACTGTCCTGCTTCAGCCTCCCAAGTAACTGGGATAACAGGCATGTGCCACTCACTGCAATTACTTTAGTTTAAGTACCTTAAACTAAAACTTGTATTTATCAGAACTAAAATCTCTGTAGAAACATGAAGTTAGATCATTGGTTAAAAATAATTTCACAGAAAGATAAAGTAATAACAAACAGAGAAAAATAGGAGGGAAAACAACAAATGGATTAAAATTAAGATTGTCAAAGAAAATAAGTCAGCAGCACAGTTAGGGGGCCACCAAGGGTGCACTTCAATTCCTCCAACATGAACTGAACTGACAAATATCAAGTGATGCTGTCCCTTTTCTCTTCCCTAACAATGTGTCAGTCTCTCTAACAGAAACAAAGTTGCCAATTTTAAATCTACTGCTACAGGTAAAACATTTTAGCTTACACTTAACAAAACTGGCTCTGAAAAATTAAGAGTAATAGCATCTGTAAACACCAATCAGCTTTTGCTTTTGTTTTCCTAGAAGACAGGAACACTAAACAGGAACTTTAAATATCTGCCCATGTGTAATGTGTGACGACCAAAAACAAAACAAAACAAAACAAAAAAACCCACCAAACAATTATTCAGGCTGTGTCTGAAAGTGCAAAAACGAGAAAGGCTGATATTAATGATAATAAAAATGCTTAAAATTAAATTCCCTTTCTAAATAAACGTTCACCTTTCTGAACTGTTGTCAATGATGATTTTACCCAATTTATGACAATGCTTAACACTGGATTATCTACACTATGAAAGTGACATTATAATTAACAACTAAAGAGGAAATGCTGCACTGAATCTAGGCAATAGTTAAAATAGTGCAGATAAAACATGACTTAAAATCATTCTTATTGCATTTTAGCATAATCTCCTATAAGCTACTAAGACTGTATTTAAATAAAATATCTCAGATGTTCATATTACACCACCCTGTTAATGTTAAACATTTTCCCTCAGACTCCAGCAGTCAAATGTCTTGACTGCTTCAACTTCTTGTTCTTACAAGCAAGACTATTCATAAGTGAAACCTGTCAAGTCCAAGCTGCAACATGCATTATATTCTGCAGAACATAAATCCCCAACTCTGTACTTCCCCTGATGATTACAAAGTCTCAAAAGTTACCTGACGTTGTCATGATGAGGATTAGAAGTGGCGGCAGCAGACCCACCGCGCAACACAGGTCTACGGCAGGTTTTTGCGGGAGAAGGCACAAGACAGAGTCAGGAAACAGAGAAATGATAAAATAAAAGCAAAAACAAGACAGATAAATGTCAAATAAGATTATATTGTATGCTTTAATACAATATAATATCTCTCAAAAACTTAGAAAATCTTTGTTCATACATCCTCCATTTTATGATTTTCATAAATCTAATAGTTTTCAACTGACTGAAGAAACAAAGTAAAATAGCACCAACATAATTCTTTTTGGTGCTCATAATTTATGAAATTCAAGACAGAGGACCACTGTGTTTAAAAAATGCAATTATTTTCTTCTGACTGGGAAAAAAAAATCACTGGCAACTTTAAAAGATGTCAAGAACCTATTGTGGCACCTGCATGATCATGGTTGCTCATCAATATCAACAGTTCTACCTTAAAAACTGTGAATTTCCTCATTTCCCACAATTCCTTCCCTCCCACCTCATTAATTCTGACTCATGTCTGATGTGTCTGGCTTAAACCCTCAGCTCTCCAGAGTAAAAAATGCATGCCTCAGTTCCAGAGCTGAGAATATGGGAGACATGCTAGGGCACATGGCAGGAAATGCAAACAAATATGTGAGTCTGATCTTGAGACAACCAGGAGTAACATACAGGGCTGCTGGAAACAAGGACCAAGGTGCACTGGAAAACTTTGTGGGGCTTTATACATAGTCTCAGAACATATTTGAATCCTAGAGGATAATTAGTTTTCTATCTAGACAAGCAGTAACCTTTCTAATATAATTTATTTGTTACAATCAAAAAACAAAAGCTCTACATGTCCACTGGTCAACTGCCCCCAAATAAGCAGCTATATTTACTAATCAGAGAAAGAAGAATGGGTTAGAGGATCCATATAAAGATTTTAAGAATTATTAAATCCTGTTTTAGAATGTCTCATTTTTTCTTTAACTAATTAGATATTTGCCTAAATGTAAGTATCAAGGCAATAATTATAGTAAATGTTTAATACCACTATACAAATTTTTTTTTCTGTAAGCTGGCACAGTTGAAGACTACAAATTATTATTTTCTGACAAGTCAATTTATGCTAGAAATATTTAATGTTTAACTTCTGTCCTAAAGTTACATGTTCTAAAGGCACTACTGGTGCTTCATAAAGTTTCTGGAGCCTAGAGGATATACGATTCAGAGCCTTTTAAAGGACACGTTTGACTTTTATATTGTTGGTTAAGAGACACTGAGGAATCACATATGCTTGAGACAGGTATTAGGTTCATCTTATCTTCCCATCAGATTTACTCTGTGATATTAGGAAGACTATCAATCAACTAATCTTAAATTACACAAATATGAGAATGGTTACTAAAGGAAGCCACTGCTGTGTGCTTTTAAAAATATTTTAAAAATGTGTATTAATATGTTCAAATGGGTCTGCTGTATCCAACATAGTCCACCACAGAGATTTCCCTTTTATAATGCAGAGCCAGAAAATAATACAGTTACCTTTCACAACGTATTTCATTTTGTCTTCTCACACTGGCAATTGACACATATAATATAAAAGTAAATTAGACAGGTATTTGGTAAAGTTGCAAACTTCATTAAAGTACCACTTGCTACCATAAGTATGATTTAATACATAAAAGAAATTTTTCAATGATATGTTTTGTAATTAAAGTGGCAAGAAGGAAGGAAATCCAAGGCTACCAAATTCTAGCATTAACCTGCATATTGACATTTTTGAGTAAATATAGGGTCTAAATTGACAGATTATGTTTCTTTGCTATGAAAATGTAAACTGCTATAAAAAATAAGTAGTTTTGAAAATGAAGAAGTATACATTTTAAAGGAAAAATTACAAATAACATATCATATCCACTGTAACTTTGTGTTTCTAGGTCTTCTAAGTTATGGATTTATAGGGATACTTGTCAAAAATATAAACTATTCACATACTGGTTTCTTATTCTATTCACTCAAAACTAGTATAATTTGCTAAGAAAAAACTATAGCAATAACCAAGCTATTCCTAAAAATAACATCTATCAGTATATAATGTTCTTACACATAAATACGGTTTTAAAAAATGACAATATTTTACATTGGAAAAGGACATATATAATTGTAATAGACATATTAACTAGATATGGGCAATGTCTAACCAACAAAGCATGAAATCATAACAGCTTTTTAAATCCTGCTGCCAACTAAGCAAACTGTGCACAGGGCTTATCCTAAGTATTTTGATAAATTTTCAATATATCACTTTTCCAAATGTATAGCACTGACCTATGTAAATGAACTTTTCTAACAATTACCTAGGATTTAACTTGGTTTTCATGTTGAACTTGTTTATTAATTAAGTTCTCATAAGCTGAGAAAAAAAGGTACAGTAAAAAAACCTTTTGACAGTGTCCCTTAAGATGCAAACCAAAAATAGCTCATGTTGAACAACTATGAAACTGCATTATTTTATGATAATAAACCAGGAAGAAAGCTTTTTTCTTTCTGAAAAAGTTATAGCTTAAATTATCTATGCTCAATGTGATGGCGTAAGACCAAAGATAAGATATTGCATTAGCAAAATAGCCAAGAGTAATAAAATAGAAAAGAAAACAAAATGATGTACAGGGCAAGGAACATAAAAGCATTTAAATTTTTATAAGCAGTATTATTTTACAACCATGCAAGAATATTATCCAAATTTCACATTCCTATTTTTTATATCTGAAAAATTATGCTAGATACTTTTTATAGCAAAAATAAAAACTGATTTGTTACTTAAAATTCTGATAAAATCTTGTTCAACATTTAGATCATAAAAAATTTGAATATAACTTTGACAGACCCTTTTAGTAATGAAAACATGGATAAGATTAATGAGAGCCTAACTCGAGTTCCATGGTAAAAACTATTGGAATATATCCAGGAGTAAAGTATTACTACTATAATACCTTTCTCAACTAAAAAACATGTTTTAGGTAAATAAGATAATTTCTTCCCAGAAAAGGAATGTTTTAAAGTTACCAATTCATTACAAAATAAAATTTCACATAGAATTGTATACAGTTTTTCATTATGAAAGAATACAAGGTAAAATTTATATTAGTAAGATTTCTGATTTTGTATTGTTTGACCCTCAGGTAAATAATTTTTCCATTATGGAGAAAAAAAGCCCATATTTTTTCAAGTTCCATATAAATGCATTTGAACTGTGTACGTATTGGTGGAAGGAGGAACAAAGAATCCTACTGGGACTTTGTCATCTAGCTATTATTTAATCTATACAGAATTTAGAATTTTTTTTCTCATTAGATATTTTTACTATAATACCATTTGATGTGATACTGACTTAATAATCTCACCTTTTCTAAGAACCTATGTAATGAAAAAAGTTAAGGAGAATATCTGGTAGAGAATAAATTTGTTTAGAGGAGAGATGTGAAAATAGTTTTTTGCAGATATTAGTTAAGGCCAGGTACTTTACCCTCTATATCTTTTGAGGCTCTCTTACCACACTAAATAATTTGAAGTCAGTAGCTCTAAATCTTCAATAAAGGCAGGGAAGGGGACTATTCACAAGAATACAGAAAGCCAGGCATTATTATACCTTTTTTACCTTTTTTTTTTTAACAGATGAGGAAAAGGAGGCCCAGAGAATATAAGCAATTTGTTCAAGGCCATGATGCAGCTATTTTGTGAGGTGGATCAAGAATAAATCTGACTCTCTGAATCCATGCTTTTCTTTGGAACTTTGTGGCTGGCTTCTTATAGCTTCCAAATATTCTAAGATTTAGAAGCTTCAAAGAACTCTAAATGCTTGGGGGAAAATAAAAAAAAAATGTATGTATACATATACATTCACAGTATACATAATTCTCCCACCATGCCATGAGTTTGTCTCTATAAGCTCTTTATAGAGCACCTTGAAGTCCTTGGGTCCAAATGTATACAACTAGATTAGCCCTGCAAAGACTCAAAAAGTCCCTAAATTTAATAATGATAAATAGCATGGATAATAATGACAAATAGTGCTCAAGAACTATGGAGAAGTTCCTGGGTATGTGTGAGTATAAAAGCAATCAATAAGAGCAAGCCAGAAGACACCTAAGGTTATTAAAAAAAAAAATGGGTTTATTGGAAAAGCCAGCTTAATTTATTGAGAATTCTTCAAAATGCAAAAATTAATAGTTCAATAAAATGACAACAAAAATTCAGACACTGACTCTGAGAAGTTACCAGTCACATGTTCGGAGTTGAAAGGAAACTGACTTTACCTTTCCCACACTATGCCAAAAAAACTTCTCCAATTTCACTTTATTGTGGCAAGGATAAAAGTATTCGAAATGATTACAAAAAAATGTTTGCACTTACAATTAACAATATATTATTAATGAGTTAACTTGGAGATGTTCAAAATAGCACCTGGAATTTTTAGTATGTAGTTAAGGGGAAAGGACAAAAAAAACGACTGGTGGCTGTAATGCCATCTCAAACATGCTTTATTTACTCAATCATATTAGTTACACAAGCAATTAAGTAGAAAAAAAAACTTACTAAAAGAAAACTAGTATGCTTCAGCAGTCCAACATCCCACAAACAATCCAACAGTAACCTTCAGCATATCCCACATGGAATCAAGTACTTCAAATAAATCAGCAAAGCCTTTGAAAAAAAACATCGTCACATATCCTGTTCTCAGGAACTAAATATTCTTTCTGACTGAACAAAATCTAATGTAATCTTATGAAATGTGAATTTTGGACAATAATTTGAAATTAAAAGAAAGCAAAGCAAGCCATTTCAAACCATTGCATCTTAGAGACTGAGAAGGTGCAAACATAAAAGACACCACAATCCACTAGATAAGGCACCAAAAAATATGCAACAAAGCTGGCAAGTCACGGATGGCCAATCACCTGCGATTTTCATCCAGCACATCCAAGATCTGCTGGTAAGCCCTACGAGTAGAAGACTGGATAAGCGACAAAATGCCACGAGCAGAGGAAAGATTAGCTCCATCTTCAGGTAACATATGGGAAGGACAGACCCGAGCCTGTTGTGGCGATGGTGTCACACTGTTCACATAAGCATAGCAAACGAAGAGAAAAACACTCAAGTCAGATTTTTATAAAACTTCAGCTGAGCAGTTTTTAATCTTAATTTTCTTGTCCCCCCTTTCTTCCCCACCCTTCACTTTCCCCCAAGAAACCAAACTAAAGTTTATAAACATTTTGTTTTAAAAGACCAACTGCAAAGTAGTACTTTTAGCTCTGTAACCCTAAACATCAAAATACAAAAAGTGGATATGAAAAATGCCTTTGGAGAGGGAAGAGAATCACAGCAATGAATGTACTTAATTTCTACTGTCAGAGCAGTAGCATTCTTTATTTAATGTAGTATATTTTCCAATTCAGTAAACCAAACCTCTAAGAAACAACACTGCAAACTTATGGATGATCAGAAGAATAGAATAGAGAATTCTGGTACACAGATGTCAAAATCCAAACACATGAATCAAAAGTGATTCCATAAAAATGCTATTTCAAACACATCACAAAAGCAACAAAGCAAGCTACATTCACAAGTAAATGAAATTAATTTAAAAGTTAAAGTCTTAGAAACTGAGACTTTTGAGTGTTTAATTACAATAAAGCATGTGCTCTCTAGTTAAATGACTAAAACAAAACTATTCCCAACTCCGAGAATAAAGTGAAAGAAGGAAGGATACTTCTTAAATCATCAAGATAGCTGATAACCATTTCTGGGCTTCTCAGTGATAGTACTCATAGCCATTCTTTAATTTGTGAGCAGAGATTCTTTCTTTTGGCTTCCTTGCCTGGGCTTCCTGACTGCTGACCACAATTGAATGAAGCAATTTGCAGAGTTCTAATCTAAACTCCTAAGATATTGTCAGTATTTTGAGAGAGCTTTTTAATATTCAAGTATAGTTTGCTATGTGAGGCATTTAACTGATATGTGGCCTTGGCATTTGACTCGTTAAAATAAGAGGACTATAACACACCTGGATAATGGTTCAACATTCTTAATGTCAGTGCAAAACATATTAGGCTAAATTTAATCCTGTGTGTTTCATTTAAAAAGAATAAAAGCAAAGCAGATAGTGAACAACCAAAATAGAAAAATCTTTTATTTTGACTGTGATATTTTCTAATTTAACATGTATTGGCTTGGAAACCATAAAATAAGTGGGATAATTCTTGAAAGGATAGTTACTGTCATTTAATATTATTCTTAAATTTTAAAATTTTAATTTTAAAAACGTGGAGAACAACTTTTAGTGTCTTGATGATCTAAAGAGAAATGTATAATAAAGATGAAAACTGTTTTCCAAAGACTACTTACAAAAAAAAGTTCCAAGTCATATCTTGGCACATTTGGAAATTAATCAATCAAGGCTGATGCATCATGGGAATTAGATCTAATGGTATTAAGTGGTATTACGATAAATTCCAATTTTCAGATGCAGTCTCATGGCTAGTAACCCTAAATGTCTGTCCAGAGAGAGACTGGCAATCTGTCTGTGCACGTGTACATGCATCATGGGCCGTGGCATCTTAAAAGGATGCAAACAAACAAACAAAAATAGCACATCTGGGATACAGAGACTAGAGTACTAGTATTGTACTCAGAATTCTTTTTAGGTTAGCATAGTGAAAACCTGAAGCTCCTGCTATTTGTGAGAAATCAGACTGAGTTTATGTTTGAAAAGTATCACCAGAAACAGGATTTAAAATGGCCAGTTCTACATCCACATAACTAAACAATCCATCTTATATTCTTTTTTGGGGAGTGGGGGTACCGGGGATTGAACTCAGAGGCACTTGACTACTGAGCCACATCCCTAGGCCTATTTTGTATTTTATTTAGAGACAGGGTCTCATTGAGTTGCTTAGCACCTTGCCATTGCTGAAGCTGGCTTTGAACTCAGGATTCTCCTATCTCAGCCTCCCAAGCTAATGGGATTACAGGCTTGCGCCACTGCGCCTGGCCGGTTTTATATTCTTGATAGAGCTGCCTGTGTACCTAGCTAAATTTTTAAGCTTTTAAAAAATTAATTAGTACTTTGAATTTTGAGGATGAAATCAACTACTTTGTCCATCATTCTGTATTAAAAAATTAGCTACATAATAGTATAGTAAAGGATGTAATAACCAATATTTAGAATTATAATCTTAAGGTAACTACATCAATGAACTAAATCCAAGTCTATGCATAGTGTTGGATGATTTTTGCCCTCTAAAATTAAAAGTTATCTCTTTTGAGAGAAACCAGTTTGCTAGAAACAAACAATAAGGAATTACATATATATATATATATATATATATATATATATATGTGTGTGTGTGTGTGTGTGTGTGTGTGTGTGTGTATATATATTATATATATAAAATTTTAAAGTACAAGTATTTTCTCTACATACACAGAAAACGAGGTAGTTATAAAATAGTCAAGCATAGACTAACTTCAGATTAATGGCAAAGAATGAACAGAAAGTTGGATTCTAGAACAATCTACAGGCACTTGTTAAATATCAAAGATTAATGTTAATATCACATTATCAGAGAAATCAACTAATAAAAATTAATTTTTTTAAAGTCTAAAATCTCTTCCAATTTTAAGATTCTATTATCATATGAAATTGGAATATGATAATAAGCAGGAAAAACCTTATATGATCCTCAATATTTAAAATATTTAAATACATAAATATTTAAGAAAAAATATTTATGTAGAAAAAAAGGATGAGATTAAGTATTTATCAATAGTAGTAAAAGCATTTATTTCATCAGGACCAATATAAAAAAAGTATTTGGATTTCTGGTTGTTTCTTCAAGGAAATTAAAGTTTCAAGAATTAGAAAGAAATAACTTTTCATTCATTTACATGGCAATCCTCCATAAACAGCAAAAACAGAATAGGAAGTATATTTTTAAACTGAAGTCTACTTTTGACAGAATGCGTACAGATTAAGTGCCCTTGATTATTTCCATCTACAGAGGAGCCAAGTGATTATAAATCAGAGATGAATAAAACTACCTTCATAATTCGAAATAATAGATAATTTAGCAATTCCTTTTTTCTTTTGCAAAGCTTTAATGAGAAGTCATCTCTTTATAAATAAATTTAAGAGCAAAAAATAAGAAGCCCTAAAAATTTTATCAGTCAATTGGAATATTCTTTACTGGTATCATCTGTGGAGGGAAACTGGGTTTCATCTCTGTCCACTCATGTACCCAAGTCAAGGTTTAATGATTTTTGTTTGTTTTATTGCTAAGTAAACACAATGCAAAGGCACTGAGATTAAGGAAATATCACAATATTAGTAATTTAATAAAATTGCATTTGGATGAAAAAAAATCCTAGTAATGTTACAAAAAAATCTTAATTTTTTAAAAGGTATCAGGATAAGATAAAAAATTAGAAAATTTTGAAGAAAGCACTGAGGTTTACTCTATCACATGCTTACATAAAATCTTATAAGAGTTAAATAAATGATGCTAGTCAATGTCAGAACTAAAATTTAAATTTGCTTAGCATAACTATGTCATTATTAAAAGGTAAGTTTAAAGTTAAGTACCTCTTCCTATGGGTTTTTACAGGAATAATGTTTCTCAAACTGTGAGAGTAACCTTTTTGGTGAGGTGCTAGCCTTTTACAGATATTAATATAGGTAAATAGTAAAAAAAAAAAAAAAAAAAAGAAGGAGAGAAAATCCAGGCATGGTGGGACACACCCATAATCACAGCTACTTAAGAGACTGAAGCAAGAAGATTCCAAGTTCAAGAATAGTCTCAGCAACTTAGTGAGATCCTGTCTCAAAATAAAAAATAAAAAGAACTGGAGTGAAGCTCAGTGGTAAAGAGAGAGAGAGAGAATTTAATATATTTTTTTTAACTGAAACACAAATGCTATATTAATTTCTCTTGAAATTTGAAACAGAAAATTTTAATTTGCTACTGCTATCTATAAGATAATTTACTAGTCCCCAGAAGCATAATAATAAAACCATAATAAGAGAAAAACTATTGGCCATTAGTGTGGTTTCTTTATTTCCTAAAGAACTATATTCACTGTTGAATTTTTGTACTGCACAACACCAAAATGTTTCCTCTCATGTGAGCACAGTCATTACCACACTTTATTCTGTCACACTTACAAAAAAAATGAGTTTAAGGATCTCACAAAATTCTTCCAAGAATAATTTAACAGATGGAATTAAAAATACACAAAGATGAGAAATTATATCCCATCTGATTCAAATGTATGATATGTCAAGATCATTGTACTGTCACGTGTAACTAATTAAAACAAATAAAAAAATACACAAAGGCAGACAAATAACTTCAATAACAAACCTCAGTAAAGAATCCATTCTCCTTCTGGGTCAAAATTAAACAAGAAAAGATAGTGTGCTAAAATTAAAAAAATTGGATTACTGAAACTGCTTAAGTTGAATCTACAGAATACTAATAGGCTAACCAAAGCAAAATAAAGAAAATAGAAAAAGGTGCTTTATCTTTATGCATTAATCATTCCATTTTCCTTTCACCAATACGTATAACCACATAAAACTTCCTCAATTGGTTTTTTTAACTTAATAAAATGTATGATGACAGTTTGAGAAACCCTGAAAGAGAAGTACTTAAAAAGCCAAAGAAAAAGAGAATTAGGGTAGTACATACCAATTACCTAGTAAAATAGATTAATTAATTAGTATTAACAGAAGCCTGAAAAATTAGAACAACTCCTACTTGTGAAAAGCAGAGCAGATAAAATCTTACGTGTATTCCGGTGCAGAAATCGATGCCTGGAACCTTGAAATTTTATTTCTCGGGGCAGAATCTGATCTGTGCCACCTTAAATAATAATTACGCTTCTTTCACATATTCAGCTTTCATAACACACAAAAAAAGCTAGAAATGATTCTACTGTCAGAATTCATTTTTGCCAATAGGTGACAATAATCAATCTTATTGCCTCTTTGAAGTAGTAAGAAAACAAAAGCCTATGCCCTTGCTCTTATAGCTGTTCACACTTTCACTTTTAGATTCATAAAATAAAGTGGAAGCAGGCAAAGGTTCATGCATAATGATGCATAGTCTCCTACTACAAAGAAAAGATTTAAGTTGGTAAAGGCAGGAAGCTTTTAATAATTACTTTAATAGAGGTAACTATAGCTGTATTATATTAATTTTTTCTTACCACATTAACAGCATTGAATATGTGATATGCTCATTATACAAAATTCCTAAATTTAGTGAGATGTGGATCCTTAAAGATGAATATTATAAATTATAAAATTAACAATGGTAGGAGAAGAGAGGGCAAAGTTTCATTATTAACATAAAGAGTTAAATATCTTACTACTAACATGGCAACATGTATAACAACTATAACAAAAAGTATGGTTAAATAATATCAAGTGTTTCACTGTGAAATATATAAAAATTTCACATTACTTTCACTGTCAAAAAATGGGATTTTCCAAACAAAATTTTTAGTTTTTTTAAACAACTAGAAAGTGGCATCAAAGCTATTTAAAGTGAAAATTAAAAATGAACACTATTAATCTTTTTATGTTATAGGAACTTGTCAAAGTAATTAAGGTCCTAAGTAGTAAATCACATCTTTATATAGTAAGAAAGTTTACTAGAAACTTTGCTACCTTAAAAAAAAATAGAAAATAACCTAATACTTTAGGTGTGTTTAATCTAACTAAGCCATAAACTACATAGCTTTTAATTATTTGTATGCTATATTAGGAAATATTCTGGGAAAATATGGATCTTATGAACTTGTTGCCATCACATCTGCCAACCAGATACCTTCCAGGAAAGATAAAATTAATCATAGATACTTTCATATTAATAATAGTCGAACCTTTTAGATACCTAAAGGAGATACATTTGTTTTTAACTCTCTTTTTATATAACCCTACAGAATAACAACTTCGTTAAAGGGCATTTGAGACTCTTAAGGAATCAGAGTAGTTATAATTCTCTCTTGAACCTAACATAAGAGAAAGGAATTTCAATGAAGCAAGCAGATAATTTATACTTAAGTTGGAATTTCACTGATTGGATTTGTACATAAGACTTCTTTCAAAGCAAGGATAAAAACATATGAAAAATATTTTCTTTCCAACTTGAATATTAAGCTCCTACCCTCATCAAAGTCCCTCTGGACACCACACTCTTTAGTCAAGTACAAACTAGAACTTACTGTTTTGATATAAATAGTATAATTGCATTGTGCTCTACTTATTTTGTATATAAAATTAAATGTTTTGCTTTTATCTAGATTTTCAAGTTTCCAGAAAAGATCTAATACCACCTGATTCTTTCATAGTTCTCAGAGAAGCTAATATTATGGTTGATAACACATATAGTTCATGATGAGTTCATGGAAACTGATAAAAAATTAATGAGGAAGAATATTAATTTGTATAAATAATCTAAATAATCTTACTAGTGTAAGATTTAAAATTCTGACCAATTTTCAAAGGATATTTTACTTCTAAAAATCAGTTAATTACAACAAAACAATAAAAAGCATTTTCCTAATCTGAAACAGAGTAGTTTTAAGATCATGATGTGATAACATAACCAAATAAGAAAGAAGAATTTGAACAAATAGTTCTTTAAACAAGATCTCTGTATTTTTTTTTAATGAAAGGGACCTATCCATTCAAGAATCAGCAGGTAGAAAGCTAAACACCAAACACTATTCCTGGAAAGATATGCAAAATTCTACTTGTCTAAGCTGCAGTTTGCCACAGCTCAGCTCACTAGACAGAGCTGAAAATGGCTGACTTACAATCATGATATTAATAACTTGAAAATAAAGACATTCTATTCTGTTTTATTTTTCAGTGTATATGATAAACATTTTTAAAGACTGCTTATAACTGAGCACTTATGTTCATCAATTAAGTATACTTTATAGAATTCCCAAATAAGCCAATCATACTCACAAAAGAGTATCAGACACACATAGAAGATAATGTTACTGAAAAATTCATACAACTAACAAAATGGTCAGATTTTAGGCTATAAAAAGTACTGTAAAAATACAAAATTGATGTAAATGTAAAACAGATTCCAAAATTATGGGAAATAACAATTTAGAAAAAGATGCATATAGACAATAAACTGAGAAAACTTACAAACATGATACAATGTGTAGTGGTTTTACTCACATGGAATCGTTTCTGACCAGCTGTCCATTTTGGCGAACAGCATTTTCACTCATAGATCGCTCTCTTTTTAGCCTGCCAACTGCACGGATCTGTTAAGGCACAAAGGGAAGAGGACAGAAAATATTCTTAGTAGCTGCTTAGCATCAAAAGAATCTTAATCCAGGGTTATTCATAAAAATTACAAGGAACCAAGGAAAAGCAACCAAGAATTACTGCCAGACATGTATATTGTTTAAATGGCATAGTGCTATGTAATCTTCCCATACACTTTAAGTCACCTAATGTGATACAAAATAAATGCTGCACAAAGAGATGTTATGCTGTACTGCTCAGAGAAGAAAGAAAAAAATCTATAGTTTTTCAATACAGACACAACCACTGTAGGTTTAACTACATAGTATATGAAATGAATATTGCTCAACAATAGATACTGGAGAAAGACTGAGGGAGGGTCTGTGAAAAAAATAACATCTGAAAACAGAAGAATCCATTTGAAGCCTATTGCAAAAGTATGTTATAGTTAACCCCCAAATCAAAATTACTTGTAGGCAATTGTAAGCAAAATTTAACAACTCCACAACCAGGTCATTTATTCATGCACCGTAAGGATAAATAAGAAGGTGAGATTTTGCTTTCTTTCTAGCTATTACAGGGCTCTCTTGAGTATTCATGGAATGCCAGCGGAGTTTGCAATTGTTTCAGGCTCTGTTGCATAGCTGAGTGACTCCCTATACTTCAGATCAGATATGGTATTTAGCTTCACCTCCTCAGGGTTCATGTCAATAAGGCACTAATAAGTAGGGAACAAGACCCTTACAGTAGGATTACTGAGTCTATAGCTTTTGTGTTATCCTTCAGCTTCTATAACCATGGCTTTCTAAGTATAATTGGTGATGAAGTTGGCTCTAGCTGGGTAATATTTCTCCTAGTCCCAGAGTTCTGGCTTCACACTTTGTATAGTAGAATTTGATCATTTGACATGGCTCAGAGATAAGTTTCTTCTCTGAAGAAAACATTCATTGCCTTTGCTCTTTTCTTCCAAAATCAGGTAAAGTTTATTCAGACCAACTGGTTTTGCTCCTTCCAGATTGCCTTTGATTAACTAATATTTCTTAGGCACATTTGGGGTTTGGTGCTTTTCTAAAGATTTATTACAGAAATGGGTAGCATTCTAGTACTTCTCTTCTTTGAAGCAGGAATTGTGAATTTTGGCAAAAACTTCTTACAACTCATCCTTTACAGTCTGTTTTCTATTCCTACTTCAAAGAACTTTCATAAAGCTCTGACATTTACCTATAGCTGATCTTTACAAAGCATACTGCTGCTTGACTGAAAGAAGTTGCTGAATCCAAATCCTTGCCTTGGTCACACACCTCACAGCTGTCAAATCTTCTCAGAAGTACCATTTCCCAATTATTTTTCTATGTACTGTTTTATTCTTGTACTCTGGAAGATCTCCCACTGACTTCAGCTAAAGGGTTTTAAGCCCTTCATGTAGACTCACTTGGATTCTTTAAACCAGTTTAGGAAATTAGGTGCATTTGATTTCTACAATTTTTTTTCCTTGAGTCAGTCATATTTTCTTTCTCATTCATTTGTTCAGAGATAAGGTCTCACTATGTTGTCCAGGCAGGCCTCAGCCTCTCAAGGTTAACTGAGATTACAAATATGCACTACCATATTCAACTCATTAGCTAGGCTTTTGAACAACAATTTTAAATTATTTCTCATAAGTCTTTCCCCAGTAGTCTCCTTTCTTGACATAGGACAGTGGCTTTCAGTTAAGGGCAATTCTGCCCTCTAGAGAATATCTGGCAATGTCTGCAGATATTTTTTTCTTAATTGTGGTAAAATACACATAACATACAATTCCCAGTTTAACCATCTTTAAGTGTATAATTCAGTGCCATTTAGCATGATCACTATGTTGTACATTACCACTATCTAGTTCAAGAGCATTTTCATTATCACAAAAGGAAACCCCATCCAGATTATACATTCTTAATTCCTCTCTCTCTTTCAATCCTTTGGCAACCACTAATCTGCTGTCCATCTCTACAGATTTGCCTATTCTGAATATTTCATACAAGTAGAATACACATGGCCCTTTCTGTCTGGCTTCTTAAACTTCACATGTTTTCAAAGTTGATTCATGTTATACCAGGTATCAGAACTCCATTCCTTTTTACCAATTAATAGTCACTCTCTGGATATTATACATTTTATTTATCCATGCATTAGTTGATGGAAATTTGATCTGTTTCTATATTTTAGTTGCTGGAGATACTTTTTATTGTCATGATTTTGAGGATGCTACTAGTATCTTACAGGCAGACATCAGGAATGTAATTAAACATTCCACAATGCAAAGGACAGCCCTCACTGTCGAGTTTTCCAATTCAAGATGTCAATAGGGCTGAGGTAGAGAAACCCTGGCATCTCTTTAGAGAATGATTACTATAGAGCAAATGGTTCTGAGGATGTCACTTTATACACTGAATGAATCATCAATGTCATCAGCTTGCAGAACCTACTGCCTTTTTATTTTAGTCCATATCTAACAGCTATAAGAAATCTGGCTCCCTCCCCCATTCATTGGTTGATTACCTCCTGACAGCTACCTGACCCTTCTAAAAACTTGGAAGTACAGACTACCGTCACAGCTTTTCAGTAGGCAGCTAGTACTACTCTCAGAAACTCTTCTCTTTCAGGACTTGGATCCTGCTATAGGATGTTTACTCTTTTATAACAATAATGTCTATACACATTGAGTTTTAACATGAATTTTCACAACAATCTTATGCACTGGCATTATTTTTATCTTCAGAAAGATCAAAAGAAAAACAAAACCTGTCAAATAACAAATAAAGCAACTCTCTCCTGTTAGAATCCTTATTCCAAGACAGTGTTTCTCACAGTTTTAATTTCCAATGGGAACTCTGGGGATTTGGAAAGTAGACCCCTAACTGGGGGCATTCTGTGGCACTTTTTGTTTTGTGTAGCCATCTTTATAATTTTTATCATTTTTTTTTCAATAAAGAACTTTATATCTTCTGTGTGTCAGTGTTTTCCCTTATAGCATTATCCTGCTGTGGCTAGGTGTTTTAGTCAGCTTTTTTGCTCCTGTGACTATCTGACCAGGACAATTTTAGGGGAAGAAAAGTCTATTTGAGGGCTCACGGTTTCAGAGGTCTTAGACCATAGAAGGCTGGCTTGTGGTTAAGGCAGAACATCATGGCAGAAGAGTGTGGCAGAGGGAAGCAGCACACACGATGATCAGAAAGCAGAGAGAGAAGTCTCTACTTGCTAGATACAAATATATACCCCAAAGCCATGCTCCCAATTCCCACCTCCTTCAGCCACACCCTACCACTTCAATTAATACTCAGTTGATCCCTTTCAGGGGATTAAATCACTGATTGGGTTAAGACTCTTACAACCCAATCATTTCTCCTCTGAACCTTCTTGCATTGTCTCACGTGAGCTTTTTGGGGACATCTCACATTTAAACCATAACACCAAGCAAATAGTAAATTTTTTGAGAACAGGAGCTATCTGTCATTCACTCCTGTACTACATTCAGGTCTTATATATAGAAGCTCAAAAAATGATTGTTAAATAAAAAAAATTTACAGTTACTTTGGTGCCTTTCTGTCATGTAAAGAATCAAATTTAGTGCTTTCACTAAGCATATCTAGAATGTACAATTTGGCACCTAAGAGTATATTATCTCAAGTACTTCAGCAGGAACTTTAAACCTAAAAATAAGCAAAACCTAATACTAGGAAATTGCATTACCCTAGTTTATATGAGTGCTTAACCCCCTTTGGAATGGACTGCACGAAAAATGAAAGCAGAGAAAGGCAGGACCAATTAAAAAAAAATGCTTGCGCACGATCTTTGTTTTTGTTTTTTGTAGTACCAGGGATTGAACTCAGGGCACTTTACCACTGAGCCATATCCCAGTTCTTTTTATTTTTTATTTTGAGGTGGGGTCTTGCTAAGTTACCACAACTGGCTTTGAACTCGTAATTCTCTTGTTTTGGCCTCCTGAGTTGCTAGAATTACAGGCATGTGCCACTGCATCTGGCTGATATTACTGTCTTGTACAAGCCTCATGACATCACATCAGAAGTTCAGAAGCTATAACAAAAAATATGCAACTAAATCATGAAGAAGTTTTAAGAAAAAACTGGTCCTGAGTTAATAGCAGTGGCAAAACTTGAGCTTTACTGCTAAAAACTAGTTAATTCATACTGTTATGCTTAGTCAACAAGGGTACTAATGTTATATGCGGTACTGTAGCTAACTCAGTAGAAACATTTCATCAATTATCAAGAATGGGGAAGGTCAAGGGAAAAAGAGCTTTGTGCCAGGTGCAGTGGCCCAGTCCTATAATCCCAACTACTTAGGAGACTGAGGCAGGAGCATTGCATGCTGTGGCCAGCATCACCAACATAGTGAGACCCTGTCTTGAGATAAAATTTAAAAAGGGAAGGATGTGGTTCAATGGTAGAACATCCCTGGGTTCAATTCCTAGTACTGTAAAAAGAGAAAAACGAAAAAAAAAAAAAAGAGTTTCCTTAGCTCCATCTGTCAGACTTTATAAACTTTGAGTTTATAAAAAGAGATGTATTAATTTTTCCTACTGTAAAATTCTGCAACTTTCTCTGTATTAATATATAACATCTAGTCATAAAAGTTCTTCTTTCAAGTCTACATAAATGTTAATAATATTTCCCACAAGATTTTAATTTTCCTGATGCATATTTAAAAAAATTATAGCATAATATTTGGAGAATTTACAAATCAGAATTGACAGTAGCAGTGTACCACATGGAAAGATGTAATGATATGATACATAGCCTCTTAATTTCTCCTTAAATTTTACTTTTGTTTATATTCTTTCAAATTTAATTGATACTAAAACTCCACTCACTTCTTCATTTTGAGGTGTAGGAGGAGATCTTTCTAAATCCAGAAAGTCTAGTGGTCTTTCACTTAGTGTAAGTACACGAGGTGGTGTTGTTAGTGCCAGAGGCTTAAAGGGAGTTGACTGAATAAGGTCAAGATCTGCTGGTCTTGAAAATGAAATGTCTTCATTATTGCCTAAGATGAAGAAAAGGAAAAAAAAAAAAAAAGAGGGTAGGTTTAAATATATTTACTTTGTATCATTTTTGTATTATAACATACTCAATAGCATTAGTTTCTTGATAACTACACTTTCACTGTAAGTTTGATATTTCACTATTATTTAATATTGTGACACAGAAATTTATAAAGAAATTATGCAGTATATACATGATTAAAAAAACTAGTATCCAGATATGTACAGAAATTTTTATAAAACTCAATTTTTCCAATTGGCAAAACATCTGAATAAATGATTCAAAAGGAGATATATGAGTGACCAAAAACACTTGAGCAGATGTTCAAAATTATTAATCATCAGGGAAATAATAATTAAAATCAAAAGGTAATGCTATTACACACCCCTTCAAATGACTAAAATTAAAGAGACTGACAAATATGAACTTTTAGCAAGAATGTGGAACAACTTCAACACTCATACCATTGATGAGACAATAATTTGGAAAACAGACTGCCAGCATTTGAAAGAGTTAAATATAACTTATAACCCAGCAATTTCATTTCTAAAGATATGAAGACATATGTTCTCAAAAAGACATGTACATGAATATTCATAGAAGCTTTATTCCTAAAAGCTCCCAAAAGGAAACAACTCAAATGTCCAACAAATGAATAGATAATTTGATTTATTTACATACTAGAATATTGTTCAGTAATAAAATGGAATGAACAATTAATATATGCAACCATATGGAAGAATCTCAGAAACACTGCACAAGCAAAAGGAGCCAGACAAAGTAGTATATATTATATTCCATATATACGAAACTCTAGGGAAGATAAATCTAGTTTCTGGTTATAGAAAGAAATTTTAGTTGACTTGAGTTGAGGAATAGGGAATGATGGAGAAGAAGCACAAGGGAATCTTTTTGGGTAACAAAAATGGTCATATCAACTGTGGTAGTTACATGGTTACATGTTTATCAAAAATCATCAGTTGTACACCTAAAAATGTATACATACTATCCATGTAAAATCTCAGTAATTTGTCAAAATACTTTTGAAATTGCTTGAAATTCAAACAGTTGTAATGAGTAGAAAATTTTTAAAACAAAGTTGTATTTCCCAAACCCTTTTCTAAATAATGTTTTAAAACCCCAAAAGGTTTCACAAAAATATGTAAAACAGATTATGAGGCAACTTTCTAAACAAACATGAAATACCTGCTACAACAATCCTCTCTGGAACTTGCATTATCACACTAGCATTTGGAACTCCTTCTTGAAATCCTTGTTCCAGGTCAGCATTTGGTGGTGCTACTTTTAGTTTTTCAGGGACCCTCATTCGCTGACTAATACCTTCGGTATATTCCATTTCATACTGAATTCGACTAATTTCTGCCATCTCAGCAGCAGTGGGTGAAGGAAATGCTGCCCCACTTACCCTGTGGAAGGAAAATTTTAAGACCAGGATGACTAAGTGTTAGAATTTCAGTCCTCTATGCTGTCTTATAGAAGACAATACCTTATATTAAAGCAAAAGGAAACATCTCATTTTTGAGCATTGAATACATACAAAAGAAAAATAAAAGATTAAAGAAAATATTTTCCTCAACACAATGTCTTCACCTAATAGCTGAAATTGCACCTTGAAGATATTGCTTGCTCAGGAACAAATTTTTAAAATTATTGTATAACCGCAACACAAACATGTGTATGCATGCGTGCGCACACACATACATAAGAAAATACATACTCTTCCTCTGCAAAAACAGAAATGCATAATGCTTATAACTTAATAATGCCTGAAATAAGATTTTAATTAAAAATTCCTTATCAGGGGGCCAGGAATGTAGCTCAGTGGTAAAGCACTTGCCAAACATGCATGAGACCCTGGGTTTTATCTCCAGCACTGCAAACAAAATAAAACAACAACAAATAAACAAAAAACCCTGAACAATTATTTAAGAGAAAGCTGTTTGACTTTATATAAATTAGAAATTGCTATCATGCATGCAAAAAATAAAAGCTTTTAATGATGAAAACCAGACCCGAAAGGTGAATAATGTTTATGCTGAATTTACTAAAAAGATGTGACCCCCTGAAAATCACAAAATACAAATTAAAACCTCTCCTATTGAACATATATCTGATGACTGAGATGCAATGAATAGCAAGTAGACAATATTAATAAACCCTTAAAGTACACATTCATTTTTTTGAGGGATTAAAAGAATCGCATTATTTATTTTTATATTTGTTTGTTTGAGTACTGGGATTGAACCCAGGGGCACTAAATCAGTGAGCCACATCCCCAACCCTTTTTATTTATTTTTTTGGAGCAGAGACTCACTAAGTTGCTTCAGGCCTTCCTAAATTGCTGAAGCTGGCTTCAACTTGCAATCTTCCTGCCTTGACCTCCCAAGTCACTAAGATTACAGGTGTGAGCCAGCATGCCTGGCTGTTTATATATGTATTCTTCAAAAGCATGAAATATCTTTGGGGAAAAGACAGTACAAATGCATCACTTAGCCTTCTAAATCAGAGAAGGATACATGATTCCAGGGAAATGCAATAGAGAGAATATTGTCCTAACGTACAAAAAGCTGATAAAAGCATAAAAGTGCAATGATTAGCCTATGGCAAACAGCTTTTAAGCCACTGTCTTTCAAACTTTAATACTAACTCAACTGAAAAAAATTTCACTGACCTTCCTAGTGGTGTGTCACTGCTTGATCTTTTACTCATTTTAATACAGTAAATACACGTCTACAATAGCTATTAAAATACTGCTACCCTGTAGTTCAGTTTACTTTACACAACAATTCCCCTACAGATCTGAACTTTTTTTTGGAGGTGTACATAACAACACGGACACTGCTTTTCCAGCTGTAAAAAAGAAAGAATAAAAATCAGTATTTTGACAATTCATTTCATAAGAAAATTATGAATAAAAGTGAATATATACTCAACATTACTTTTGGACTTGAACATGACTTGGAATAGAGCTAAGAAATCACTTTTGAAATCTTTCTTCAAGAGTTATTCTGTATCTCAAAAATTATAATAAAGATAATTTTATCATTTTTTTAAGCATAGCCATTGTGTTACAAGTTTGCAAGCAGGATAAAGAAAAATTGTACTGATGATACAGATCTGGTATTAAATTAGAAAAAAACAAATCAACACTGCTATAAAGCTCCTTTAATCATTATATTCCAAAGGAGAAAAAAACCTTTAATTTTTTAGACAAAAGACAAATGAAGAAATCATAAAGAGAATGCAAAGGATAATAATAAATGTATTAGAGGTAGCCTAAAATTTGATGTATATGTATATAATGGCTTTCTTAAAGGCATATAAATTTCAAAAACCAAATTACACTAAGCTTTTAGTAAATGATATTATATAAGTCCAGATCAATAAGCAATTAAAGACAGTATAAATGTCTTCACCATAGCTGGGATATTTCTTAAACTCCATATCAGAGATGTATTCTACATCTTAAATTCCATCTGAGACACTCAAGAGAGTTCTCAGAAGTTGCTTAGTGTGCTGAGCCTTGACAACTGGTTTCATTATGAATGCTAACTTAGCTTCTTTTGTTCTTTACCAAAATGTCTGAATTCTAAGGGCATACAGAGTTTCAAGCTAAGAAAATAAGCCAAAGAGAAAATTTTACTCACAAATGTGTACCAACTACTGCTTGCTGTTTGGCACTATCTGCTTCTGTGCTTCATATTAAATCCTTCAACTTGCTTCACTGTGCACGTGCTGGAGTTGGAGGCACTTTTGTTCCTGGGAGAGAAAAACAGGAGTTAATTGAGAAACTAGAAGATAATAATATTAATTGGAAATTCCAATTTCCAACTGGAAATTCTCCAAATGACAAAAGTCGTAAAGATATACATCTTTAGACTAAGAAATGAATAAAAGAATAAAGAAAGAGCCAGGCATGGTGGTGCACTACTGTAATCCCTGAGGCTCAGGAGGCTGTGGCAGGAGGATCTTGAGTTCAAAGCCAGTCTCAGCAACTTTGCAAGGCGCTAAGTAACTCAGTGAGACCCTGTCTCTAAATAAAATACAAAAAAGGGCTGGGGATGTGGCTCAGTAGTTAAGCGCCCCTGGATTCACTCTCCAGTATCCTCCTCAAACAAATAAAGAAAAAAAAAAATAAGCTTACCACCAATTTTAGTCCCACAGGCAGTACCCTATGATTATTCTTCAAGTAAGACATCTCTATCATTGTTTCTTATTTGAAGTTAGAAAAATATGACAGAGAAAATATATTTAGATTAATAATATTATACGTTTATTTATATGTGCATAAGAAATAAATTTCCATTCACTTAAAATGTTTTTAAAATGGAATCAGTAATAAATATACATGGCAATGTACATAAGAACATATGGAGAAAATAAAGTGTTCCAATAAATCTTGTCTTCAACCCCTCAGGTCTCCAAAGGCAACCTCTACTAGTTTGGTGCATTGTTCTAGATGAGATACTCTTCAAATTCTTAAAGTCTATCTGAAGCATAGTGAAAGCTTATATTCAGAAATAACACTGAAAAGACATATCCCAAAACAATATCAGCTTTGGGATATTATAAATTGAATTTTTATACTAATAAACAATGGACATCAATTGTTAGAAACACATTTCTTTGAAATGTGCTGTTCTCCACATTCTCTTCACTGCATTTCAGTCTTCTTATTAACTTTGCACTAGAACATCTCAAGAGTCTCAACATTTCATTCCACAGTAGCACCATTTCTTATGAGAATCTCTGAGTTTGTAAAGAATCATGGACTTAGAACACATAGGTAGACAGTGAAAAAACAACTTCTGGAGAAATCCAAAATCTTCTGTACTTGAACTACTTAAATTTAAAAGCAAATAAAACTTTTGCACTAAGATTTAACATTACTGTCTCAATCACTGTGTTTTCTGCTTAAATAAAACAGATAAGAATTTGATTATTTTTCTCCCTCATTGGACTAGGGCACTTTGAGCAAAATCTTTTGGCAATAAACAAACTTCTCATTTGGGGTTAATATATTAATTCCAGAAGTTTTGTCACTTAGCATCTACTAGGCAACAAGCACATGATTCTAATATAGCTAATGAAACAAAATCCTCCTCAGAATCAAAGATAATTTCAAACTTCACGTCCCCTGCCCCCTGTATTCACACAGTAGATTTACTTTTGGCTGCACTTAATTTCTTCAACTTGACTTAAAAATATTTAAAGAAAGTTTTAGATATCTACCTTAAACCACAGACTTTATGTACACACATAAATACATGTAACAAAAATATAACTATTAAAACAAACCCTCATTTATATTAGCATCTAGAGTCAAGTTATAAACCACTGGTAGAAAAATGTACCAATTCGGAGACACAATGATTCAAGCCCAATTTCTCACTTTCTAATCAGAACACTGGATACCATAAAGTCTAGAAAGTCACAGAAACAACTTGAGTTAAATTGTGGCGCTAGAAATTTATATAATTCTACAATTACAAACAAACAAAAACTCCAAACCAATTCTTTAACAGATACTGTGTGGACTTGGTTCAAGGTTTTTATCTAGGTCACCCTGTTTGGGTTCTCTTTCTAAGCAATTATGGTGTATCAGAAAAAAAAAAAAATTGTTGAGATCCAGGGTTAACTCCATTTTTTAAAGAAAAGTCACAGAACACTTTGAGAAAGATCTATTAGTCACAGAAAATTTCAGCACCAGAAGGGAAAGTACTAATTCTAAGATGAGGTAGCCCTATCAGACAGGGAGACAACACACAACTTCCTTTGGAAAGAAAAACAGCTTAGGAATCCACAAGACTCGGAAACCAAAAAGATGGCAGGTTCCCCCAATTTAATTGCACGGATAGACTAAGTGCTAAGTGCAATTTAAATCGTCCTAATTTCCCTAAGGGTTTTTCTTGTGGGATTTCATTAGCCAAGAGGATTGGGGCAGAAATGTCTTCTTCCCCGGGAGAGAAAACATTCCCGATCACTAACTGGTTCGATATTTGGCATAAGCTTTGTTCATCTTCTGCAATAAAAAGACGCCACCACTTTAGAACGAGCGCTCTTCCCTCTGCCTAGTTGGGGTTTTTCTTTTGCCCTAGAAGGGGGACTCCTGCAGGAAGGACCTTCTCCAGCAGCCCCTGCTTCTGCGCTCCCGGGGACCTGCGAGGCGCAACGCCGGCATCCCCGCCCCGGAGCAAGGATGCTCATAGAGCCGCAGGGCCTTCCCGGGGACGCACCGCGGATGCCACTGCCTGGGCTTCCAACCGGCCCTTCTTTCCTGACAGTATTTTCCACAAAACCCAACAAAAAGCCACTTTAAACACCGCGGGCTCAAGGTCAAACCGGGCTCGCCAGCCTCTCCCCGGCTTCCCAAGCCCGCTCAGGTTCCATGCAGTCAAATCCGAACTTCTGCACACATCGGGGCGCCCGGCTGGGAAGGCCAGGAGGCGGGCCCGACTGCGGCAGGACCGGCCGCTCCGCCGCCACGCTCTCCTCCGCTCCTCGGAACCCGAGGGCGACGAGATGCTGAGGAGGAAAGGCCTGCGGACTTGACTGCGGCCGGGGCGACACCTCAGGTGGGTTGGGCCATCGCGGGCTCTCGGTCGACCGGAGGGTCACTGCCGCAGCGCTAGGCCCGGAGGACGGCTCCGGTGGGAGTCCCGGATCGGGAAGACGTCAGCACTCACCCCTGGGCCCGCTGGAGAGTCCCAGAGAGGGCCGCCGCCCGCTGGCTCCCGGGGCGCTCGGGTGAGCGCTCTCAGAGGCCGTTGGCCGAGCGCACTGAGGCGCCGGGGCAAAGCACCGGCCAAGCGGCCCTCAGCGGGCCAGCAGAGACGCGAGAACGGCCAGGACTGGCCCCTTTCAGAAGCCGTAGAGGAAGCAGGTTTCTGGTCATGTGATGCGGGAAAGGGCGGACGTACAGCTCACGCACAGGAGTGGGGACCCGCGAGACGGCGGTAGAGAGACATCTTTGTTGTGGGCAAAATACGCCGACCTCAAGTAACGTTGGAGGTACTTAAATTTGATCCACGGTTAGCGCTAATTAGCGTGCGTGATCTTAGTTTACAAGGTAAACCTTTGGAATCCGGTTAAGATAACAGCTTCTCAGACCACCTGCGTCAAAACGTCTTTGGTGCGAAGCCCAAGAGTCTGCATATTACTCTCTAAGCCCTCCAGCGAAGGACCCTGGAAGGGGGAAGTTCAGTTAGGTCTCCTGGTGGTTCGCAGCATTCTTTAGCTTCCTGGGAGCTCTCTCCCACCTAATTTCTAACACTTCCTTCTGGAACTTTGGGGTCCAGAGCTGCATACCGAGAATGGTGCTCACTAACCTAAGGACAAACTGACGCCAAGCCAAGAAACACAGCCTGTGTAGGCCTCGGTAGTGAAGAACCTGACGGTCCTCTGCATTTATGGCTGTTTATCTTTGGATTTAACCAACCTTAGATGGAAAACATGTGTGTCTGCATTAAACATGTACAGACTCCCCACCACCTTGTTAGTCTGCCTAAACAGTAGACTTTGACAACTATTTACATCGTATTAGGTATTATACCTAGTCTAATACTTATTTAAAGTATATGGAAGGATGTGGGTAGGTTATATGCAAAAGCTATACCATTTTATAAAGGACTGGACCATCTAGGGATTTATCTATCTGTGGGGGTTGTGGAACCAAGTCCCTCATCCTTGCCCTGAAATTACTGTGGGAATACTGTTTACACATGAGTGAAGCACTTTTCTAGAATCAGAGAGGTTACCAGTCTAAAATAATTTGGGAAGCTTTCCAAATTGTGTTCTTGGGCTCCATCTTAATATTGGTATAAGGAAGGTTAAATTTCCTCTTAGCGTCTCAGCTGGGCCTAATAATCAAATTGACAAAAAACAGATAAGAGAAAGAAAGCATACAGATTTTGTTTAGTAATTTTTACTGGAGTTGTCACTAGAAAAATGAAAACCCAAAGAAGCAGTTATGGTCCAAATCTTATATACTGGGTCGAACAAAGAATAGTAAATTGTGAAAATGTGAGAAGACAAAAAGAGTGTGGGTCAAGGCAGCTGACTGTGGAGAACTGGGCAGATAACAGCTAGTTTAACAAGGTTGGTTTGTACTCCTTTTCTCGGGCTTGACGCCCTGACTCTGACGATAAAGATGTCTTTCTTCCCAGTACAAGGAAGTCACCCTTCATGTGGGAGTTTTATCTCTTGGTTTCAGGAAGAGAGAAGAAGGCCAGAGTGCTTGTTTGCATCTGCCGTTTTCTCAGGTGCCTTTGACTCAAAATAATCTTTATGCCAAAATGTTATATTCTGCTACCCTGTAGTGGCAAACCATTTTTTTAAAAGAATAGATTCAATAAAAATGATGAGTCAGTCCAAGTCAGCATCTTGGGGGAAGGTAGAGAAGCTGGGTAAACTGTGATCAAAACCTTAAATGAGAGTCCTACTACTTCCATTAACCTTTCCACTTCTTCAATACTTAGTTTGGTTTTTGCTCCTGCTTTCCCACAAAGAAAAAATGTTTTTGGATAACTTTCAAATGAAGATTGTGATAGGGTTATAAAACCTATAACCCTTAACATTATTATAAACCATAACACTGATCATTGTTTATCTTCTGACATAATAAGATTCTGCTAAATTAAATGAGAGTGTTGTAAAATGTCAAAGTACCTAACACTTTCTGGTAGTAGATTCTCTTAAGGATGGGTGGAGGGTTGCATTTTCTCTCCTGTGCTTAGAAACTGTACACTCTTTTTGTGTGATACAGCTTCATGTTGGGTCTTTCTTCTCTTCCCTCATTAATGTGGATATTTCTGTTTACGATTTATTCCATCATTGACTGTTTTTGCAACCTCATAGTATATAAATCTAAATTAGTACATCCATTTCATCTCATCCTGATGCCTTAGTGTTCATTGAAGCTTTGTTCTCAATAGGGTTTCAAACTAAATGTTTTTCCCTCTTCTCCATCCAGATACTTTTTCAATTCCTTTTTTCCCCCTCATCATGGCAAGATTTATTTTTCTAGTCAATAAAGTTCAAAATACTGAAGTTATCTTTTACTGTCTCCTAAGTTAGTTATGACAATTAATATGTAGTGTCAACTTCACTGGATTAAAGAATGTCGCGACCCGTTGCCCGCAAGGAAGACGCAACTCGGGAATCTTCTTTCAGCGGTTTATTCAGGCCCTTGATATTTCTTCTACTGATCCCTCGGTTGCCCCTCCCAGCCTTAATATAGCATCTCAAGCCCCAATGCAAAGCTGCCACATGGAACTTTTTCATAGGGTGCTGAAAAACCATGCGCCAACTCTCCCAAATAAGGAGTTGTTTGTCACATACCACAGCGGAGCCAGCGCCATCTTGTAATGGCGACCATAATCTGCATAAGCGGCAGAAACGGCTCACCACAAAAGAATACCCAGATAATTGGCATAACGTTCCAGGTATGCCTCTGAGGGCATAAGGACTGAATAAACAAGATCACCCTCACCCAATATAATGGGTACCCCCCACCCTACTGAAGGCTGTGATAGTAGAACACCCCCGCTCCCCATCTCTCTCTCTTTCTCTCTCTCTCTCTCTCTCACACACACACTCTCTCACACACACACACACACACACACACACACACACACACAAAGCTGGGATACACATCTTCACTTGCCCTGGAACATTGGAATTCTGGATTCTCTGGTCTTTGTACTTCAGGACTTATACCAGTAGGCCCCAGTTTCTCAGGCCTTTGCTCTTTGACGGAGCATTCCACATATCAGCAACCCTGGTTCTCAGACTTTTGGACTTGTACTCAACTACGGTTGTCTTGCAGATGGGACTTCTAGGCCTCCAAATCACATAAGCCATTTCCCACAATGAGTTCCTTCTCATCCATCCATCTATCTATCTATCTAATCTGTCTGCCTGTTTCCACCCTATTGGTCTTATTTTTCTGAAGAATCTTGTCTAATACCTAACTCATGCTTTAGATTTTTCTCTCTTCAATGCCAATTATTTGCTTTATCTGTTCTTACTGGTAGGCCATTAACCATCATCTAGGTTTTTACTCTTTTTACTAGCCTACACATCTTCAGTCTTTTTCTAATTCCACCTAGACATTGAGTCAACAAGGAACCTAGTTTTATAAATTGTGACATCTCAAATTTGAAGTCCCAGTTTGAAAAAAATTGTTGATTTATAGTTATATACAAGTTCAAAAGTCTATTAACAGTAATCCAGTAATTTTTAAAAAACTTGAAAGTATGAGATAGCCTGACAAGCACCGTATATATAAAGTCCTCAACTTATGATAGTTCAGTTTATGATTTTTTTTAGTTTTTTGATGGTATGAAAGCAAAATGCATTCAGTAATAAGCCATTCCTTGAATTTCAGAGTTTGATCTTTTCCAGGCTAGCAATTAGAAAATATCTTTCTGGTTTGTGCTTGCAGTAGATTCGGCAATAAACCACATGAGATTTCCAATACTTATTATAAAACAGGCTTTGTTTTAGATGATTTTGCTCAAGTATAGGCTAATGCAAGTGTTTTGAGCACATTAGACAGGCTAGGCTAAGCTATCATGTTTACTAGGTTGGATGCATTAAATGCATTCTTGATTTAATGGTATTTTCAACTTCTTGTAGGTTTATCAGGACATAACCCCATCATAAATTGAGGAGCATATACTACATATTGGACCTTCCAGATTATTAATTCCAGATTATATAATAATTCCACTCATTTTCTCAAAATCTTCACCAAATCTTCAGTACCAATCAATGAAGTAAAGTTCAACCTGGTATTCTAAGCCCTATCTAACGTCGTAGACTTACTCTACTGTGCCTCTCTATTTATGTGTGTGCAGATATTATATAGTTCTTAACCACTAGATGTTCCCTGAGATTGTTTCATTATTTCATAACCATTTATTGTTATCCATTCTCTTCCTGCCACTTGGAATGCCAACTGACTTCTGATTATCTTCTGCTTTTTAGAATCATAACATCCCTTAAAGGATTACTTAAAGTGTCCCCTTTTTTAGGAATTATTTGCTGCAGTTTCCACCTCCTGAATCACTATTTGTCGTCTCTTCTAGCACTTACATATTCTGCCCAGTATTATAATTGTCCATGGATATGTCTTGTTTTCTCTTACCATAAAAGAGAAACATATTGAGCATGTTGTAGATCTCAGATATAAAGTAATGAGACATATTTCCTTGTTCAGCTCATAAATTGGAATTGAAGATAATTCCAAAGCAGTAGTTCTAAAAAGAGTTGGAGCAATGGCAACATGTTTATAAAAATCATAGCGTCAATATAAGGGGAGGAAGGAACATATTTATCTGAATGTTTATATTTAGCCTGGTTATGAAAAATTAGTTACTTCTTCCTCTGTGTTTGCTTATCTGTTAATTTCCAGTACCTATAACACAAACCAGAGGAGACACTTACTCTTAATGTTTTGAAAGTGCCCCGCTAATAGTTTGCTATGATAATAGTTTGCCATTAGAGATTGATCTGATTTTCCTTTCCAAACAGGCTTATACTAGAAAGAAAGATAATGTGCTTGATCACCAGGTTGATTCTACTTACCAGCTGTAAAAAGTAAGTTTATTAAAATGTTTTTGTACATTTTTTAACCAAAGAATTTACAAATCATATTTTTAGCTTACAACTGAGAGTATTTCTAAGATATTTATTTGTTCAACTATTTTTTTTTGTCTTGTAAAAATTATTACCCAGGATCCCTTCATTCCATTTCATTCCTTGGTTGTATCTTTATTGTCATTTAATACAGCCTGAAAGTTCCTTTTTCTGAGATTTCATATTTTTTCCCAAATCTCTACATATGAAATTTTATGAATTGTTTTCCTGGATGAGGAGTATCCATTACCATTTATCAAAATATATGACCCATAATTTCTATAATCTATATGCTTTTCAAAATTACTGGCTTATAAAATCCCTTAAAAGCTTCAATAGAAAAATGAGCAAAGACATGATTAAGGCTTTCACAGAAAATTTTTAATAAGCACTCACTCAATTAAAATGACATGTTTAGCCTTAGTGATAACATGGAAAATGTAAATTAAAACAATATGCAAAGATGTAAAAGAACACTTTGAGGACAACTTCGGCAAGTTAGAAAGGCCCTAAGCAACTTAGTGACACCTTGTCTCAAAATAAAAAGGGCAGGGGGGCTGGGGATGTGGCTCAAGCGGTAGCGCGCTCACCTGGCATGCGTGCAGCCAGGGTTCGATCCTCAGTACCACATACAAACAAAGATGTTGTGTCCGCCGAAAACTAAAAAATAAATATTAAAATTCAAAATTCTCTCCCTCTCCCTCCCCTTCTCCCCCCTCTCTATCTATCTATCTCTCTATCTCTAAAAAAATAATAACAATAATAAAAAAATAAAAAGGGCAGAAGGGCTGGGGATATAGTTCAGTATTAAAGCACCCCTGGGTTCAATCCCCAGTACAAAAAATAAATAAATTAAAAATAAAAGGGCTAACCTTTTTACAGAGCCTTTTTTTTACATCTACAAAAGACCTAACATTGTGGAGTAGAATGAATTGGACATAACTTTCCTGTGTTCATACTTGAATACATGACCAGTGTAATTCCACATCATATACAACCTCAAGAATGCAAAATTATATTCCATGTATGTATAATATGTCAAAATGCACTCTTGTCACATATATCTAAAAAGAACATATAAAAATTAAAAATAAATAAATAAGCCACTAATATAAAAAGGGCTGACATTGTGTGAATCTTTTAATTTTTCTTTTTTGTGATTTATACTGAGGGAATGATTGGACAAATGTAGAATGACATGATATTTCTACAATGAAACTAAGTCTCCATAAGTGGAGGATTATTGACTTATTTTGTATATCCACATGATGTACCACGATATAAATGATTAGTACTTATCTACTGATATAAAGATTGGTCCACAACGTATTAAGTTAAAAAGAAAAATGAGGGTTGGGGATGTGGTTCAGTGGTAAAGCATTTGCCTAAGGCCTTGAGTTCAACCTTCAAAACTGGAAAAAAAACAACTAATAATAAAGCATGCTTCTAACTAATTTTTGTTTAAAAATTATATAGATAGGAAAAAATTCAGCAGGGGAAATGTACCTTAATTTGACAGTTATCTTGGGTTGGGGTGAGGATTAGATCATAATAGTCTTTATATTCTTCATCATAATTTCTATATTGCCTATTGTTTTCACAGAGCACATCTAATTTTACAATCTAAAATTATTTTTATTTTGAAAAAACAAATGCCAAATATAATTTTTTCAGTTTTATTCTAATAATACAATAAAATAATATTTTAGCTATAATTACAGAAATATTAGTACATTACAATATATTGTAATTTTGTCAGGATATAACAATATAAAATATTCAATATATTTTAAATATATTCCATTTGGTTATAGAGTAAATATTAAATTAAGTTTAGTAGCAGTTACATTTGATACATAGAAAAATCTTTGTAAGTTAGCAATAAAACTTGAATTTAGACATTTTAATACTTTTATAAATAAATTAATAATGTTTATCTTGTAGAAACAAAGAACTCTGAGAAATCTGTTGTTTTAGCACACTGTGAAATTCCAAAGTTGAAGCCCCAAATTTAAAAGAAACAAGTTACTTACATTTTATCTACAAAGTTAAATCTTCATAACTTTTTTAAGCCACATCTAAATATCTGGAATATAATTCATGAGCTGAATTTTAATGCTCACTCTTAGAATTATGACTGAACAACTGCTGTTTATGCAGCTTCCTTGGAATTTAAGGTTTTAGCATCACTTGTCTTCCTCAGAAGTCAAATACTGTTAAGAGGGCAAGAGGAGATAGAGCTTGCAATTGAGTGAGTGCCAAGCATTTGCCATTAGCACCAGTCAGGAGGTTTTAGGAGCAAAAGTAGATTGCCTTTGGGTCGTCTGTGAATTTGGACTTTTAAAAGAGGCAACTATAGCCAGTGCCTTGAGTGTTTGCCTAGAGCAGCTTTTCTCAGTCTTTAGAATACGTCAGAATCATGTGGAAAGCATGTGAAGACACAGATTTCTGGCCTATACCCACACAATTTCTGATTTCCCAAGTCTAGAAATGGACCTAGGATTTGCATTTGTAACAAGTTCCCAGGCAGTGCTGACATTGTCCATCCAGGGGCCACGTGTTGAAAACTATTGGCCTATGTAGATCAGTGAGCCCTCTTCACCACTATGTACAGTTGAAACTGTAAGATATATTTAGGGCAGGTTAAGTCTTAATAGTAAGTGAATCTAAGTACATACTTTGAATGACATCCTGCATGTCTCAGTTTGGGGGTAAAAATGGCTTGACAACAAGCATATGAAAAATGAAGAATGTAAACCATATCAGTACTCCAGAGTCACATTTTCCCTTACAAGGCAGTTGAGTCTGGAGCAATAGCCTGAATTTAAATTTTAGCACCACTGATTGCACCTTAGTGAATCAAGAAGCATCTTCAAAACTGTCTCATGATGCCTGGCTCCTAAGACTCATCGAACTATGCTATCAGCACATATAAATGATTTTTTAAATGTTTTATAGAACAGTGCTTTTTTTGTGTTGTTCAGACCTTAGCTTCTAAGGGGTCTAAAAGAAGCTGGAGGTCTTAGGCTTTCCCTGGGTAGGGATCTTATCTTCAAAACTTTACTCAGGCCTTCTGAGTTATAATAATGAAATGTAAAAGCAACAATAAAAGAAGAATATAAGGTGGGAGAACAACTCATGTATATGAGATTTTTGTTTGGTTGGTTGGTTTGGTGCTGGGTTTGAATGCTGAACATACACTTGACCTCTGAGCTACATCCCCAGTCCCTGTATAAGATTCTTAAGAGAAGCAATAATTTACCTTTTTCTGAGATATAGATCAGAAACCGTCCCTCCCCCCTTTTTTCTCTCCCTCTTTTCCTCTTCTTTTTCTCTAATTTAGTTTAGTGCCTGGAACATAGCTTGGTGCTGATTACAATGCCTTTTAGTTGAACTGAGGAAGCCTGGGAATGTATCAACACACCAAAACAAGTCTTAAGACATATAGCTACCAAATTATACAATTTATACATTAAGGTTTTTACACAATGGTCTCTCTCAATATGGTTTGAAGAATGTATAACATAAAAATTTTTTTTGTTGTTTATAAAGAAAGGATTAGAAAAGTAAAGGAATAAATCTGAAAAAACAAATAATGGAATATTTAGAGCAAAAATATTGAGCATGATAAACCAACAAATGCCATAACCTTTCATGAATTATTGAACTATCAAACCCAATTATATATGTGCCAGCATTTATAGGGATGGGGATAAAGTGCACATCTAATAAGTAGTATCCTTGTTATTTTTGTGGGTACACTAAACAAGAGAAGTTAAAAGTTGACACATTTGAAGGTATATGTAGCTATGTCCTATTAAAGTTAATTCACTTAGTGTGAATATCTTATCTACTTTAAATACAGGCAGCCTATATTGACAGATGAATTCAATGAATAAACAAATCTTCAAAGAAATATAAAATAAGACCAAGGATGTTATGATTCCATTCAGGGAAATCTTCTTTGGCCTTAGTTTGGGGTATGTTTGAAAGGGTCCTGGAAAAGTCATGAACTTCATCAGTTTAAGCCTGTGTTCCCTCAGGCCATAGGCTGCTCCACAGGTCTGAAAGTCCAGTTCTGTTCATGATGCTCTATTATTCCACATGACCCTCTCTCCTTCTCCTCTTGTTTCAGGAAGGAGGTGGCAGGGCAATCTAAGACTGCATTAGCCTCCCTCAGCCTCAAAGACTGGAAGAGGAGAGAACAAATATCTCTTATCTTGAGCATTCCAGCTCTATACACCCACCACTTAGATGGCGGTCTGGGTACAAATGGAATGCCATTTCATTGATAATTTGTGACAGGCTGTTGCCTTACCAGAGGAAACTTTGAAACAATACAATTTTAGAGACCAGGATCACAGAACTACCTTTGTTGTGTGGAGAAACAAATCGAAACTGTACTACTTAGCCTTCATAAACTGATAATGTTTGGTGAGAGAAAATCCTAAATAAATTTCTGTTCCAAGTCATTACTTTGTTATGTGGGAGAAAAAAAAAAAACAGCAGTTCCATTTCTTTTACTTCTTCAGTGTCCTTTCTTCATGCACACCTGACAGCGACTTATTATTTTTTCTAACTCCCCAGCTTTCACAGTTGATGGAATAGGTTTTCTGAAATAAAAACAAAGCAGTGGCAACAAAAAAAACTCATTAAATTATAGTAAAAAGTGGAATATTTGATGGATATGAATTTTCTTAATATACCTATTCTAAATTTATTACAAGAACATTTTTTATAGAAGAGGTAAATTTCTGGAAAGATATACATAGACACACACACACATACACACACACATACATATATATCAGCATTTTATAATTTAAGTTGTATTTCAGCAGCACTCAGGAAACATTGGCCTTGATACAAATTTACAAGATCATCTTTTTTTTTCTGATAAAAACTGTTCCCACTCCTTAAATAATCTGTATTATTCACAAGTCTTCTAATACAGTACAGCAGATCATTTAGTGGCTTTATTTGTTAATTTATTATATATTCATATATAAATACTATGTTGAGTGATAGTAGAAATCCCATATTTGTCTGTAGTTCAAAACTGTATTGACTTGTTAACTTCAAAACACTTATAAATTAGGAGTGCCAAGGTAAACAGGTTTTTATATTGGCATGGAGTGGGGAATTAAATGTGAGAACATCAATACATAAGTAAAGAAAAGCTAATGGAACACCTTTGGAGTTCTGCAGTTGAGTTGATGAAGCTTAATGTTGAATAGTTACCTGAACATTCTTTCTGGGTTTAACGAAGCCAACCAGAAACTGTAGGAATTTGAATAGTAGTTGCACGTTCCTCTTCCATGACATTCTATAAATGGACTGGCTCGGAATTCCTCCAAGCAGGAGCCAGGGGATGCCAGCGCTTGCCCAGCGCCCTCAGAACCTGCGCTTGTGAACTATCACAATAAAATCTGAATAAAATCTCTGTCCATTGATGTTCAAATGTTCAGTTCTCTACTTTTTTGAAGGGTGGGGATTAATATAAACTGCAGGGAAATGAACCATAGAAAGTGGATTAAACCTCTTGTACTTCTTTATCCAGATTTGCTAGTATTCTAGCCATCTTTCAGGTTGTGATATAGTCATCAGAAAGAAGGAAAAGTTGTTTCTTCTTCCTGGAACACTCCTTCCCTATGTCTGATGGCCTTTTTTTTTTTTTTTTGTTCTTCCAGCATCTGCATACAGGTGACCTCAGGAAGGCTATCCTTGACCTCATCTGACCTCTGACATTACCTTGCCAGATTTCCTCCATAGCACCTGTCGTCAACTGGACTTCTGCTGCCATTATTGGGATTTTATCTCTTTGCCTATTACCTGTCTTCATCACCGGGATATAAGCTTTGTGAGAGCAGAAACTTTGGCTCCTGATATTTCTAGCACCTAGAATAGTCATGGCACATGGTAGTGTTCAATAAAATTTTTTTTTTTAATAAGTGAGTGAATGAATAGATATCTGTGAGCAAAGACGGGGGAGAACATGTTATGAACAATTACAGATTATTAATGGGCAAATCGATCATAGTCATGGGACCCTGAGGAAATTACTTCATTCTTATTTGTGAACTGTAGATGATACAAACTACCTTTCAGGGTTATCATTAGGATTATAGAGGAACTATATATATAGGAACTGTCACACATATACACAAATAGACAAAAAGATAGTTCATTAACAATACATGGTAGTTGCTATTAATCTAAATATTGTGTCTTGAGAAGTCTATTTTTTTCAACACTTCATTACTCAGCACAGGTAACACTGTTTTGTTTTTAAAGAGTATATTTGCAAACTGTCAAATATTTGTGGCATCTTGCACACAGTTTCAGGCAGTGTCCATTGTGGGGACTGTACGTATTTCACCCACATATTTCACCCAGTACAATGTAATATTCTGCAGGGAATATTTGCTATAGTTTTGCTGTTCCTTTTCTCCTTACCATGATAAAAGAAAATCCTTTCCAGAGGGAAACCCAGCCATGGGGACATGGGGGTATGGTGGTGGTTTGGCTGTGAACAGCTATGGTCATCGCAGGACCTTCACAGACGGTGCATCTGTAACACGAAATCAACATTGTGCTGGCATTGCCGCTTTCTGCAATGTTTCATTCCATTACAAGCAATGCAATTCATTTGGTTCCATTGCCAAATTAAGGGACTGGATTTTTACCTGCTAATAAAACTCTCCAGGGCTCTGCCAGTAATTGGAGCCATGTCCATTGGCATCAGAGCTGGTGTCGACAGCCAGTATGAATAATCATTCCGAGATGCAAAATTACATATTTCGTCGACATTACAGAATAAGAATGGCATGGTGGTAAATCGCTGCAGGCAGCTCCCAAGAGTCCCTAATACAATATGGAACTGAGTATCAGTTAAGATTATTCTATTAAATTAAGATTATTCTATTAAAACAGAGAGGCAGCCTGATCAAAGACAACACAAGCTAGTTATTTGTAAAATGTCATATTGATAAGTTTTAGTCAAGATGGAAATAAAAACCCAGCAGGCAAACAAATCCTTCTATTCCCATCCTTAATACTTCCTATGGTCCCTTCTAATCAGTCTAGAACTTGTGGGCTGGTGTAGTTTGGTTAAAGCAATGTCTTTGCTTCAAATTGTTTTAGTTACTCAGAACAACTAATAGTCACATAAAATTTTCTTAGAAAAGATCATTTGGGGATTAAAAAGAAGACAGATATAACCAATTAGAACAAATTAAAAAATAATAAGAAGAAGAATAAGAAGAAGACAGGTGTTTTAAGTGAAAATGATTTTCATTGAACCTGACAAGCTTGACTCCTTCTAGCATTTTACATACCAGAATGCAACTTAGACTTCAGGCCAGTTGCTCTCTTTAAAATGTACTGGAAGACACCTGAGGTTGTTTTTACTTATCTTCAGAGGAAGCACCCCAAACTAAAAAGTTTGCAATCTGCATATGGAGCAAAACAACTGGAAACTCTGACCAGAACATTACCAAGGTCTTGTCCATGGGCTTGCTCATTTCCTTGTACAAAGAGAAGAGAAAACCCACTGTAGAGTGGCTCTGTCCCTTCTGGACATGCAGGGATCACTGTTGCTTGACTGTGACGGGTGAAGACAAAGCCCCTCTTTCTTGTCTCCATTGCTGGCAAGCCAATATCTCCAGGTTTTCCCTTCAAACCTGGTAACCCATCTGATCCAGGCGGTCCTTTAAAAACCACATTATAAATGTTGTAACACAAACAGAATCTCAGACTTGTTTTCTGAAGTACTAATTTAAATGCTTTTGTGTCTCTGTTAAGCTTCAAATATAGAAAGGAATCCTAGTTATAAAATGACCAAGCAATATCATTAAATGTTAACTAGTTAGTCACAAAGTCCTCTTATTGATATTTGTGTGTGTTATCAGGTCTTCTTTATCTCTGAATTCCCTTGTGATGCCTAGCACACAATGGCCTGTATGTGAAAGGTATATGCACATCTTTTATGAACAAATATGTATGGGTCCTCCTACAATGTGAGGGAAAAGAAAGAAAATATCTACAATTAGAAAATGTGTTCAAGTAGATACTAAGAAATTGCTTAATGCTGTGGATAAATTCAATAAACAGTTATAGAAAATACTGAAATTTATTTTTAAAGGTGCAAACTTCAATAAACTTTCTGATCCATTAGTAAGGCAAAAAATTCTCACGTGTTACTATAAAAATCCACAATTGCCACAGTTTGAATACAGGAGAGGCACACATTCTTTACTATCCCTAACCCCTACTCTCATTCACAAAGGGCTATAATTAGTCCCAAGCAAAAACACCTTCCAATATCTGCATGGGAGCTGTAATGTGATTAGCTGAAGCAGGGCAGGAGATTAGCTTCTCTGCCAGTGCATGGTATCTAAGGCTATTCTGCACCTCCAAGTAAGGGGCCAAGTCTATCAGTTTATCAGTGTTATGAGGCATCCATAGCATTGGACTATGTCTTCATATAATAATTCTCACCATAATTTGTATTGTAGTACTGTTGTTCTTGCTGTTGCCCCATTCAGAAACCCTGCCTTTATCATTATAGTTTATAAATTAATAGAATTATTAATTAGGGCTTTGTTTTTTTACCTCTTTGAAAACACACTGTGAGGAAAATGTAAAAATTAACAATACTGAGCACTTGTGAGAATACTAAATCAAAGTTAACTATGTAGTTAATATTAATAGCATAATATTTGAATTTTTAGGATTTAAGTTTCTAGTCTTTATTATATCTGGGCATATGTACATATAAACAAACTGGGAAATCACATGTAGAAGTTTTTCTTACTTTAACAAAGTTAGCAGTCCTAAAAATATAAGATTGGGACATGTTGGTATTTTCCAAAGGGATACTTTGAAACTTTTACAGAAGGTAGATTTAGATTCAGGTTATCAACTGACATATATAGCTTCTATTCAGACATATATAAGAGGCCCCTTTTCATTACACACACAAGAATTGTTGAGTGATGATATGGTTTTTGTTAATGAAGGGATATTCAAAGGTGACATGATTAGACTGTAAGCTCTATAACCTAAGTAGTCCATCCTAGCTTGAATGGACTTGACTGGGCAATAACTGTGGGCAGGTGGGGTATGGAAGAAGGAGGTGGGTCACTGGAGATTTGTCCTGGAAGAATGCATTTTCACTGTGGCTCTCTTCCTGAACTCTAACACTCTATCTTCTTCCCAGCTGGCACGAGCTGAGCAGCTTCCTCTGTCACCACTCTTCCACCATGATGTTCTGCCTTATCTTGGGCCCAAAGCAATGGAGTTGACTGACTATGGTCTGAATCTCTGAAACTGTGAGCACAAAATAAACTTCCTCCTCCAAGTTGGTCACAATGCCTAAGGTTGACTAATGCAAGTGATATTCACCATAGTGTAGTTAAAAGATGACATTCCTAAATAAGAAAACTAAATTGCTCTACTATTCATCTCAAGATAATATTTTCCTAACTTTATATTCATGTAACACTCCTATAAGTAGTTATTAACTACCAACTCTTATAAGTAATTTAAAAATATTGGCCTTTCTAAAAATGGAACATCCACTAGAGCTTCATTAATTCTATCTGCCCCGAGTCTTAAGTTGTACATCAGGCTGAAAGTTTAAAGTATATATGCCCAAGGTAAGAAAACTAGTGTGTTCCAGTAATTCTTAATTTCCCATCTTCTTCCACACAAGCTGTTGATCTTTGGTCTAATCTGAACAAAACAAACTGAAAGACCTAGATTACCCTTATACTCACACATTCAGACAAGACCCCCTTTTATATTGAAACAGCACGCTATCAACAAAGGAATCAACTGGGTATTTGTTTACCTTGCTCTCCTTTGTGGCCTTTGTGGCCTTTTTCTCCAGCTGGTCCAGGAATTCCTGGTTTTCCATCCTTTCCAGGTTTGCCTCTTGGTCCGCAGGGTCCTAGGCAAAAAACAACAGTACCTTCATTTCATAATGTCAGGATAAAAGGTCAGGTGGCTAACCATCCCCGTTAACCTGGGATTTCCTCAGTTTCAGCAGTGAATGTCCAGCATTCCAGGATGACCCTCCATCCTGGGCAAAGTGGGATGGTTGCTCATCCAACTTGTTACCTCTGCCTCCCTCACAAAAGACCCTAAAATGAATTATTAGTATATCAAATATAGAAGTTTAAAATTGTGCTGCCATTTTGATTTATTCTATTCCAGAATTGACTCGGCCCATGTATGATCAAACTAATAGGAAATATCTCTCATCTCCCATGTGATTCACAAACATTTACAGCATGATAGTTCCTTTTGGAAGTCTATTATAATATGCTAAGTATATGTAAAGGGATTAGTTCAATTTCCAAACACAAATATTTTTAAAAGATTTTAAAGTCATTTTTCCTAACACTTTGCTGTACAAAGTGTTAGAAAAGTTTAAATCTATAGAACTTGGGTATATTTAGGCAGTCATTTCAAAATAGAGCTCCAAGGTTGACAGCTGTCAGAGGAGATAGACGTAATTCCTCCTTTATCTTAAGAGGGCCCAAGTTTATACTATATACATCAGTTTTCAATAGATTCTAAGGATTTTTATTTGTTGGTCAAGAGTAATTGAACTCAGTCCTAAAACTGATTACAAAAAAGCCCACTACAATGTTTAAAGTTTTCTGTGAAGTTGTATCATTTGCCTCCAAAGTGCTTTACAGGTGTCATGGTTCAATCAGTTCCTAGAGATCCTAGTCACTGCTGCCAGGTCCACACCTAGGTTTCCTGGTGATCCCACTGGCCCAGGTTCTCCTTGCATCCCTGGTGGTCCAGGTGGTCCAGGTGGCCCTGGGCTTCCTGGAAGGGAGATGATCTTAAGTGTGCCAGGATCTCCACGGACACCTGTTGATATAAAAGCAATAAGATGAGGGCTTTGTGGATGAGTCACCCTTTTTTCATGGAGAACAGTAAATTGTATAGAGATATATTTACCGGGTGGTCCTTTTGGCCCAATTGGCCCTGGAGGTCCAATTGATCCCCGAAATCCTGGATCACCCTTTTCTCCTTAAAAAATAATAAGAAGAAAAAGAATGATGCCATACAGGACAACTGATTTCCTGGTTCTAAGGATAAATTCTGAAAGTTATAATTAGAGTTTTATGGCACAATATGGTGATGGCCACAACTTAAATATGTTCCTTAAATATGTTCACATGGGTTTGGCATTCCATTTGTACATAATCAGTCATGTTCCTCATTCTATAAAATATAAGCCCCAAAGTCAGCATTTAGAACTTGTATTTTAGTTGGGTGCTGTGTTGCACACCTATAATTTCAGATATTTGGGAGGATGAGGATGTAGCTCAGGGGTAAAGCACTTGCCTACCATGCATGAGGTCGTTGGCTGTATCCCCAGTACCAGTGCTCCATTCAAACACACACACACATACACACACACATGACCCAGAAGAACAAGTGTATAAATCTGCATATAAAAATTTTCTTAGTTTTCCCCCACTAACAGTGTGGTTTCAAGTCTTTGAGATTTTTCAACTTTTTGAAATTATGAAAATAATAAGCACATATGGTAAACAGCTAGAAAACAGTACTGTTAATATTAATGAAGCTCCCCTTTGCTCATCCAGATACATATCAATACCCTAAAAGGTAACTTTAAACTATTTCTATTTTAAGCTTTTCTATCATTTCCATCCTTAAATTATAGTTCTAATTTTTAAGTCCCTTGGGCTTGGGTGCCAGTGGAGTATTTATGCATGCTAGGGTCCTAATTGTACTGATGCTCACTGTCTGTGGTGTTCACAGGAGTGCAACAAACATTTGTGTGCTCTAAATGTGAAAAATTGTATTTGTATATAAAGAGCAGTGCACAAAAACAGTACCTTTTATGCCTGGAAATCCATAGAACCCAGGATCACCTCTGAGCCCTGGAAGACCTGGGGTACCTGGTGTTCCCTATATTTCAAAAAGAAGGGAGCAAAACCATAGATAAATTTTAAAAATTATGATACTCATGGCATTTTTTAAGCAAAATGAATGTAACATTATGTTTGATGAGAATGAGATAAAGTTGACAAACATATTTTACCATCCAATCCAGTGATTTAACTATCTATAACTCTGTCGCCTAGACCTCTCCTTAGGACTGTTATTTTTAAAAAGAAATAAAAATTTCCTTTAAGTCCACAATCAAACATACTTTCTAATGTTATTGTATGTTTTTTAGTATTGAATACAATTATATATTTTATATCCTGATTGAGTTTGCTCAGTATAGGGGGATCTTTTAGGAAGAATAAGCACTAGACTACCAGAATGAGAATCAATATCTGCATTTGTAATGGTTGTAAAGATGATGGTGCCATTGTTGGGCATCATTCTACTAGGCCGTGGAGGTAGAAATTCCTCCTGGTGAGAGTGATAAAAGGGAAGTGTCCAAAGATGGCAGTGGAATGGGAGAAAGCTCTTGACAGATACTTTTGGCTGGGACACATGACCTAAGTGGGCAGCTCCCACCATATGAAGCTCCTACTGTTGCTCCTGAGGCCATGAGATGCCCAAGTGAGGCCAACAAGGGGAGAGGAGCAGGGCTTCTGAGCTATATGTCAAAGTGTATATTAAATCTACTCTCAAATTGTCCACAGGAATTGGACAGAATGCTATTGTTGAGAATAATGAGCTGAAAGTCATGAAATATGTAAAAAATAACAAAACTTGCCTTTGCCTTTGCGCCAACTGTTGGTGGAGGAACAAGAGCAAAGAAAGGACAGTCCTATTGCTAAGAAGCCAAAGGGCCAAGAAGTGGATGAGGTAGTGCAAGGCTACAAGAGGAGGAAGAGGAAAGACAACCATCTGTTCAAGGACTTTCTATCTTCAGATATCTGCTTATTATCTTGAGCCAGGGGAACTAAGGAGGGCCTGGTGCCAGGACAAGCCCTGGGGTAGGAGGGAACTGCTCTGTGCAAAGAGAGAACTGTTAGGGGTCAGTCAAGAAGAATTATCTTTCAATTGCAAATGTAGAAGCTTTTGGCCATGAAACCACTAGGGGATTGAAATGTGAGAACACTTTATAAACCAGTCTTTCTACCTCCCAGTGTCCCTGGAAGAACTTAGATGCCATCATAGGATCAGTGCTGACAATTTTCAAAGCATTAAGGAGAACATGAGAAGCACCTACAGGCTGGAAAGATAGATATCTCATTTTTTTCAAAATTAAAAGGTAGATTCTAGAACCTAAATACCAAGAGAACCGGAGAGAGTTTAACTTGATTCCTGACAATGGTCTTGCCAAAATATCTCTAAATTTGCCACTGATGAAGATAAGAGGCAATCGGAGTTAAAGCACTGAGGATCTGTTTTTTTCCTATAAACTGTCAAAGCACCGGTATCTGTGTCATGTCTGTGTGTGGAAATGCTGCACAGGGCAACCAGGATGGATTTAAGGCTTGGTGAATGGCCAGATCAGAAGGCAGTTAACTAAGGGATTAATTCTAACTTGTAGAGAGGACTCCAGGCACACAGAGCTGCTCTGTCAATGCTTTTAGAATAAACAAATGATGTCTTGCCTCTTAGTCTAGAAAACTGGATCCCCATGACTGACCTCTGCTTAGCCCTGCATCTCCTCCTGATGTGTCTCACCCTTACCACAGCATCCAGTGACAGAGTTGTGTGCCCTGTCGCTCACACACACTCATCATCTCTGCTCTGAAAGCTTCTCCTCCAGGCTCCCATCTTTACTTATCTTGTTTTTCTGGATGACTGCTCTGCATATTTTCAGACTCAGGCCGGGAGTAACGCTTCCTAAGCACCTTCCCTTCACAGGAGGGACGGAACACCCTCCCATGCTCCCTCAGCCCTCCCTCATTCCTCTCAGCAAACTGTTTGTGTCTGTCTTCTTCACCTTATTGTAGGCTCCTCGGGGCAGAGGACTGTGTGCATTTATTGTTCGATCAGCACAGAGTAGACGCTCTATAATGATCATCAAGCTACACTTCCTGTCCTACATGTTTCCAAGGGACATACATACACAAAGGAATCAGCATATTGAATATGTTACTAAGAGAACACTGGGGGAAGAGGCAGAGGGCATTGAGGGAGACGCCGAGTTGAAAGATTTGGGCTGGGAGCATGGGTGGGCCTAAATGAATAGCATGGTATCCCCAAAAGGTAAATGTAAAAGTCCTGCACATAAGTCGCACATATCAACAACATAAAGCGAGACATGGAGCAAATGTAGTAGCAGTTCATGAGGAAAAGGCACATAAGCTCAACTGACCATAAGTTCAATGCGTGACAACATGGTAATGGGCAGCCAAAAGGCCCATGCAAGACTTTGGGTTGGATTCCCAAGATAGTGGTGGTCAGGATGGTGAGATGCTTCCCTATTTTAGCCACCCATGGAGGTATTCCTTCCAGAGGTCTTTCTTCCCAGGGACCACATTTTAAAGGGAGATATTGACAAACTAGGGTGTACTCAGAATAAAGGCAAGGTTGATCAGCAGTTTGATTTGAAAAATTCAAGCATTTATCTGTGTAGAAAATAATTGGGAAGAAATGGTAGCTATTTAGAAATGTTGGAAGTATATGATGGTGAGATAATAAACAGGATAGCACAGATTGGTTGGAAAGCCTATTGTAGAGGGGAACATGATGTCATTTTGGATGATTCTAAACTGGGTGCTTTTGTCCACTGGAATTGTTCAGAGGTTAATTAACCAAGGGTTAGGAATGCTGTAGAGGTGATTTCCAGAGAGACCAAAGTTTTAGAGGCTTTTTAGGGGCCAGATCTTCCTAACTCTTAGGATTCTTTGATTTTCTGAATCCTTGTTCTTAGGGGCACAGCACAGATGCATCACAAATGCTAAACTTGTGTTGCCTCCAGGTGCATCTGATCCTGGCAAATGGTTCACAAGAGTAAAATAATACTTTTGGATTAATAATTAGCAAATATAAATATTGACAATATGTACTCTACCTACAATATAACAACAGTCATAAGTCAATATTGCATTAGTAATAAGTCAAATGAATTTTCCATACTCACCGGATGACCTGGTGGCCCTATATCACCTATAGATCCAGGTGGACCCCTTGGGCCAGGCTGGCCCATAAATCCTTTGTCACCTTTTATGCATTTTACATGACTCCCTGGAGGTCCAGGGGAACCTGGATCACCTAAATTCACAAAGAACCTGTCATTATTGCCAGTAAGAGATCCTAGAAAGTTCTATCAGAGATTTTTTTTTCCAATAAAGTGTAAACCCTGAAACTTATCCTTGCAAACATCCTTTCCTCTGCTGTGTGTGATGGTACCGGGGTAAAGACAGAATAAGATAATGCCAGTAAAGCACCCAGTACAGTTAGGAATAGCTTCTCCATACAGACAGTCTATTATTGTGCCTGGGCCCTAGACCTGATCTGTAATAGAAGCTCAATAAATATAGGTGTCTCTTTCAGTATCATTGATTTGTACTTGCTAATCTTTCAAGCAGGCTGCCCTACCTCAACACCACCACCAGTCTAACAGCTGCGAGAACCGTGGCTCCAGGAAGAATGGAGGCCAGAGGCAAAAGGAAGCAATGAAGTCCCACAAAGAGGATGAGAACTTCAGATGTCAAATGTGACTTTCAATCTATCTAGCTTAAAAGTAAACCCTCTACCTGGATATCCTCTTGAACCTGGTGGACCTCGATTTCCTTTTTGGCCAGGGATGATGGTCCCAGGCTGACCTGGTGGCCCTGGGGGTCCTGCTATGCCCATGGGTCCTCGAGGCCCAACATCTCCCATTGTTCCCTTCCTGCCAGGGAGGCCCGGCCAACCAGGGGCTCCCCTGTCTCCTTTGGCACCTGCAAACAAGAAGACATGGTAAGTTTCTGTTATGCTTCTGTAGCTGGACTTGCAGGTTTTGGTTATTTTCAGTAAGGTAGATACTTCGTGTGAGAGTATCAGAGTCATAATATATATATATATATAT